AATGCAGTATGTTGTTTTCATAATTCGGGAGCCAAGTCATTAACTGGTGCCAAGTGGATCACCGAGTTATAATGGTGTGTTAAAACTGCGTTTTTAAACCCTATATTTGGTATCAAGTTATATAAATTGACGTTTCATAAACATTGTAAACACAATCCACGTGTCCCGACGTATTTTTGTTTTTCGAACTAAAGGCAATGGTTATTTTGTTGCATTTTGCAGGCAGTACTTAAAGCCGTGATTTTGATTTCTGAACAAAGGTTATGGCCACGGTGTGCAAAAGGGTGTTTTTGTTTTAAACTTTTAATGATAACTTGTTATTCTCTTTGGACCAAAATTCTTTAGAATGATTTCAGATTATGAATTTAATCTCCCAAAAATCTCATTTTATGACTCAGAAAAACTCCTCTGTAGACCACTGCCATAGGGGCCAGGTCTATAGAATTCTACAGGAACGTTTCATAAGGGAACTAATATCTAGGCTGACCCAATTAAAGTTTAAAACTGGGGCACATCGTCCCACTAAAATGCTTGATGAAACTTAACTCCCTTGCTGTTAAAACATAACTCTTCTATTTTGTCTTCTTTTTTAATATAAAGCAAGGGAAAACAAAAAACAAAAATCCAATTTTCTGTAACTGTATCACACACACTAAAGTTTATGACATCAAACGTGGTATCGTAAGGAAGTTTACAGAAAGCTTCTCTCCAGTGTCTTCACACCCGAGTGTTTCTGAGAAGGTGGGAAGCTTGTGATTTTGTGATATATTGGGAAACTGGGGCAATGCCAGACAATCTGTGGTATCTCGTCTTCCTAACGATCACAGGTTTGAAATATTTTGCTAAAACATTCGACTCTGATATGCCAAGTATGACCAAAAAAGATGTAAAAACGCAGCATTTAAGTTATTATTAAAAACTGATCCATGGAGATGTATCTCGACCCGTTGCAATAATCCATTGGTATAATATACTGTGGCATCTGTCTCCGAGTTCTCTCAGCAGGAACAGCTCATAGAGACCACCACAGCTGTTCTGTTGACAGTAATATGCCCAGACCACCGGATTTCCACACACTTGCAGTCAGGTTGCTGGCTGACAAAAAGCTGATTTTAGAACTATGCTGGAACTTCTACTAGTCCAAACCTCATTTTCACTTTAATCAATTAACTTTCTAATAATAGCACTCAAAAACACGGCTCATTTAGAATGTTAAGCTAACGGAGTAAACCTTTACTGTTCATGTCGTAGTTTTGTTTTACTTCAAATGGTCTTTTTCATGTGGAGGAGACATTAAAATCTACCCAGCAAATCATAGAGTGCCTTTGTGTTTTACAGGTCGTATAATCATCTTGTCAATATTTTTGTTGATACCCATACATACAGTAAACACCACATTTTAAGAAAGAGGAACATGAATATGCAATTTTTACTTTTAGTTTAGTTCAATAAATTCCGTAGTCTTGCACTACACAATAAAAATGTTTCCCTTCAGGATATCCGCTTGGAATATTCCATTCTTTTATTATACGAAGAAGAATAATGCTCATTGTAAACAATACGTGGGTTATGTTAATATTACAAAACGTCTGACTTTAGAATGCTGAATGTAAAATGAGTACATATGCATTCAGCTTATATATGTCTTTTTCGGCTTATTTAGGGCAGTCAAATACTGTACATAATATTTTAATATGGAAAGAAAATAATAATAGCATAGGAAAAATCCTGTTTTAGCTAAGCTAATTAATACAGTTATTTCTAAGGAAGCAAGGAATCAGACTCCTTGCCTCTGGTGGTCTTGATTTTTACTGCTCTGTTGCTCTGCTTCTGTTACTCATTAGCAAAGAAGAATTTAATTTTTCATGGCTCCACATTTGAAGCTATACAGAGAGATTTTACATGAAAGGAGCTCTTTAATTCACAATAATTCGGTTTTTATTATTTATAAAATTCCCTCTGTGATTGCCAGTATTGGAAAAGTATTGGGTCTTGAAAATATAAATCTAAAGTCCTATTGTAAAAGGCAGGTTCGGGGCTTTATAGCTTATTCTGTAAACTGTATACAGTCATGTTCTAAGATTTCATTTGGTAAAAGCTTTTGGGCATCTGTTTAAATATAAACCCATTTTGGTTTCTGCCCATTTATCAAAATCAGCTTGACAAGCTCAGTATTGATGAAATAAACATTTACTTTGGGATTTAAATTCTATTTAGCTTTTAATTGTAAAACCAGTTCAGCTGGTTACAGACGTACACTTCAGACTGAAGGACCTCCAGGTTACTGGAGTAACAGTACTTGTCAGGCACCGATGAGTGTTTACAAAACAGCAAGTGGTAAAATTATGAGTAAAGGAAAGCTTGTCTACAAACTGTTTATACGAAGTGCATTTGATTTAAGAGAATTACTTGGAACTTAACATAGGTTTGATTTCAAAACAGGCATGAGTTGCCCAAATTTCTGCTAGGAAGTATCAGCTTTTAAATTCTGTTGGACTGTGCCAGATTAGACTACTCAAAGCCCCCAAGAACATTTCTCAACAAATAAGAAAGAACTAAAACTTGTATTCTTATTCTGGTGTTTATGTTCACTAAACTAGGCATCACATAGAAAAACTTGAGTTGCCAGTATTACTTGCTTACTGTCTGCTTGGTAAATCATCTTAAAAGTGTATTAAAAGCTATTATAATTTTTTGCTTTGGAAAACCCTGCATTCTTTTAAAAATGTGTATTTTTAATATTTGTGCACAACCCACTTACTGCAAAACATAGAGCAACTTACTTCAAATACTTTACCTTTGCCTACTGCCCTGTCTCTCTCACACCTGAAGAAGGCTCCACGGCCGAAACGTTGTGTTCTCTTTCTTCTTCTTTTTTTCAGCATGGAATAAACCTATTACTTGTTCCTTTACTTCAAATATATCAACCATAAATAACAATAGTAAATGCAGTCTATTTCTCTGTGCAGCCTCACTGCATACCACTGAATGAAAATATTTTGCATTGCCCTGTTTAATCTCCCACCCTTGTGAAGATATTTCCAGCTTCAAACACCAACACTTCAAAATAATGTTTCAGCTAGACTATTTATTGTCTTGTCTATCAATGTCTTGACCCTGATGTTTTATGCTGCAGAAGTATACAGTTGTTCCCTGGATAGCCAAAGTCATAAATATATTTTTCCTGGTAATTTGAGTTTTAAGGGCTTGGAGTGAAGGATTGCGGGCTGTAAACTGAATTTCAGAAGAGGACTCCTTCTGAGATGTACTCATGGAAAGTGTCACACAGTCGTGTTCGTCTAAGACATTTTATTATGCGTCTTTGGCCTGTGTTTTTCTTCATTACGTTGAAACAATTTAGAGAAATCTTCTAAAGGATGGTAAATCATCTATTTTGTCGTACAAAATATCCTTTTGGCTTTGATGATGTGCAAAGTGTGCAAAGCCTTTTGAGTAGCACAGGCTGGAAAAGTGTAGCTATGGGAAGAGAAGAAAACATCAAAGCTTTGTGCATAATATGGTCCCTCTTGGTGCCCTTCTATTATAAAAGCACATGTAACCTTTCACTTGGTGAGCACCTAAATATAGTGTGTGCTTAGCAGCATTGAAGGAACCCATCTGGATCTCTTTGATATCACCACTGATGACTTTTTGTTTCTGAAAATGAAACAATTTTCAATTAAATTATTGGGCTCAGATCAGATTAGATGTCAAAGCAAATCACGTTTGGCTAATTATAAACTCTTAACTTCCACATAAGATATTTATTTTTTGCCCATATTATAAATATTAATGGTAATTCAGCAGCAGATGTGTGCCTCCTATAATTATACGTGGCTAATTCAAAATTGATTTTCTTGATACTTTTAATTTAGCTGGGAATGGTAATAGTGTAATTCACTCATCTAGCACCACCTAGAGGTTTTGAAAGAAAAGTATGAATGATACAAATCAATAAGGCAGCCAGAGTAATGAAGGATAGCAGACCATTTTTTGAAAAGTTTAAATTACATATTTGTCATAAACAGTTTTACTGAATTTACAACTTGCAGTTGTATTTTGAAGACAGCGCCATTCTTTCCAATACCTTCAAACTTCAATTTAATTCAAACTTTAGTTCATAACTGCCAAAGATAAGATGGAAGGTAGAGGCTGCTCAGCTACCTTGTTCTCTGAGATTTTAAAGGGAAATGTTTAATTTCTTGCAGAAGGAGAACTTTGGTTTCAATCGTAAAGCAGCTCTGCTAGAAATCAGTTCCTCATACGTATCAAACATAGTAAATCATTGTATAGAGAAAAGGAACAGCAAGAAGAACAATTAAAGTATCATGGCATCATAAATTACGATTATTCAATTCATGAAAATCTTTTATCGTTCAACCCCCCAAAAATTATATATATACTATTTTGATACACCCTTTCCTTTCTTTGTTCATATGTCTGCCAAAGATATATGTTTCTAAATTATAGAAATTGGCGCAATTTGGCATTCCCTTAAGCAGACTGCCTTAAAAAATGTTTTTTTTACTCAGTTCCAAAATGTGTTTTCCGTCATTAAAACTGATTGAAAAGTATTTTAATACTTAAAGTATTCATTCCGCTTGCTGCTCTGGAGACATTAACCTAATTCATGTTTAATGGAATGTTGAACAGCTATAATGTAGAGGAACATACAGAAGACAGACATTTATCTGTGTTGTAAATTGTTTTTTTATAGAAGAAAATGCAATATATATGTACTTTGTTAATCAGTTTTGTTTTTGTATCTCAAGTTGAACTAAGTATACAGTGTGTGAAAAGGCTACAATGGTAAACTAAGTGAACACAGAGTGAAATGTAGTTTAACATAGTTTGCACTGCTCTTTTTGCATTTAAAAGGACTACATGCAATTGTCCAGCTTTTAATTCCTTTCAGCCTTTGCACAAAGAATCGCAGAAAATCTTTTTATTTCACTTCTGACTTTCTTTGACCAGAAAAAGAAGGCACACTGACAGACAGGCAGGTTTTCAATCAATTTATTGCATCTTGTTTTGTGATAGTCTGCATCTGGATATCATTTCTGGGCTCAAAAGATTAATCAACCTCCTGTATTTCATATGAGCCATTCTCTTTCAAAATAATTAAACATTAGAAAATAACACATAATACAATTTTTCATTTTACAAAAAGATATTAAGCATTTCAAAAGTTTTACTCAATGATACTGACTTTGTTTTCACAAGTTACAGAAATATTTAATCAAAGCACCACAGATATGCTAAAACAACAGGAAATTATGATATGGCCATATCTGCAAAAACATAATAAATAATAATGAAATAAATGTGTTACATTTGTCTATTAAAATGTTATAAAGTTGTGCTATCCAGAGGTAGGCAAATTAAACAAATGTACACAAAACTGAACAACATAAATCTTTAAAACAGGAAAGCAAATCACACTGTTCACTCAACATCACTTCACCAGACAGAATTCAGACTAACCTGCCAACATAAGCACACAATGATATTCCACCGCAAAATATAAGAACAAAGAGTTTACTCTTTTGATATGCACGCCTATGATAAGGCTTTGTGCTGGTTGATATTCAAAAGTCCTTAGATAAGTTCAACATTTTTTAATTATTAATGATAATGAATATTGATAGTGTGGTTAAACCTCAAACAAACATCTCCTTGTTGATCCACATGAGGCTGCGAGTCTCGTTGGGTTTGCATTCATACTCAATGCTGGCAAAACTGTTTCCCCATTGACAGTGGTCCCTCTTGTGGTAGTTATAGTACTTTACTTGCCAGACTGTCTCAAAGGTCCCAACATCATTGAACTGTTAAAAAAAAAAACATACAAGACAAGCTCATGCTTCCTTTCATGGAAACCACCATGGATTTATGCAAGTTTGAACTGCTTCTGAATTATTTACAGTATCAATAAAAACACATATTAGAAATACGACATGACCAAAGGTGAACTGTGTCACAGAAAATTTATGACTATGGAAGTCGCCTGAGGGTACCTTTACTGCAAAAACTAAGCTACCTGACGCAGGTACTGTAAATGTTTTACATTGGGTACATGAACATAATATTTGATAAACTTCAAAAATGATTTGATATTTTAACAGTCAGGTAAAGATTACAGTATACTGTATGTAGAGGTAGGAAACAACTGTGCGAAAAATGATCCATTTTCAGTTTTGCATCAATATTTACACAGCATATGGTGATCTAGGAGAGTAGGCTGTCCTCATCTTTTCCTTGTTTATACTTCACCTGAAGCCAGTAACTCCTTTCTATATGCGGTAAACCATGTGCAGCACTTCATTTACAGATGGTGCCTTTTACAATATTAATTTCATCAACACTGGCTTCACTGGCTAGACGAATAAGAGACCACAAGAAATGGTTGATGTTTCTCAGTAACTGGGATTTTATTTGCAGGAAGCCCTGGCTCCTTGCCGTTTCCACCAAGCCTGATCAGTCTTGGCGGAAATCTTAATTTATTACCAGGTTAGCTGAACAGCTATGTTTTAGTAATTTAACAAAAGTACTGCCAAGTTGGCCAGTGTTTCTCTTAATTAACTGAATAAACAGTGTTTTTTGAATATGTTGTGCATTTGCAAAATATATATACACAGAAAACAGATTTCAGTATCTCATTATTATTTGACTGAACTTTTCTGCTTTAAATATAAACTTATAAACTTTCCATATTATATAATAAACAAAAAATAAGGATGAGGGCCTGTTTTTAAACTTTAATAACTATTAAATTAGTTAACAAAATATCAAGGAAGATCATATTAGCTTGTTGATGGTATCACATTCTACTAGTACTTTGGAGTGATCAGATTTCTAATAATCAAATTAAAGTCGTGACAGAAAGTACCTCATTGTAAAAAACCTCAAGATACCAAGGAAAATCTTGTTGTTGAGGGTTTCCTGAATACCAAATACAGATCTGAAATCTGACTTGATCAATTCCAAACCAAGTTACATGTATATCAGTAATGTGAGAAGAATTTTAAACACTGAAACATATTTCTAATGTATAAAATCCTGCATTTAAATAATATTGGACAGAATGTTGGACAGATCTTGAGCAATTATTGCTTCAATCTGTCCTTAAGAGCTGAATATATGGAAGAACTTGGAGGCCTTAAGGAGAAAAAGGGCAAAAGGAATAATATCCTATTCTTTTCAAGATAAACAACAATTACATGGGACTCTTTTAGAATGTTTTCATCTGTGAAGATAAGCAGTATCCATATCACAGTGTTCTGTACCTAATTAAGAAAGTGCAGATACCATACATTCTTACTCTTCTTATAAAGAGTCAGAAAACTTTTAATTAATATTCGCTTTATACACAATCTACTCCACATATTAAAGGCAAAAATAAAAAGGAAAAAGTAAATAAATAATCAATATGAAAGGAAAATTGAAAAGTTATTATGGCATAAGTATTAAAACCCTTGGAAATGGAAAACCATGGAAAACCTAAATTAATCTATTGCAAGCACTTAGGTTACATTACCTTAAGAAGCACATTATAGGTTGAGCAGTTCACATGATTTCAGAATGAAAACACCTATCTCTGTAAGGTCCATGTGTCTGGTTGTTAATTCAAGTAAAGATTCAACCATGAAGACCAAGGAACTTTCAAAACAACTCAGGAGAGGAGTATATCAAGGGAATTAATTTCAGAGAAGAGTATAAAACATTAAAAAACCTGAAATATCTCCTTGAACAAGCTGAAGTTGATCATTAAGTTGCGGCCGAGCGAGGAGTAATCTGGTTACTGATGCCACCATGAATCTAACAGCTAGTTTAAAAGAGTTCAGTGGTTGAGATGGGAGAAAATGTCTAGGGGTCAACAATATCCTAGTAACGGTGGCTTACAAGGAGCTAAAAAAATTTAAATCTTCATATCTCACATGGGTGGGATTTTCAACAAAGCACCTGTGCAATACTGCAAACATCTGGCAAATGGTTTTGTGGTCAGACAGGACACAGTTGAGCTTTCATTACAAATTGAAAACTAAAGGTAAAATCCCTACATCCCTAAAGTCAACGGTGGTGGCAGCATTATGTTATAGTTCTGCTTCTCATTGTTACGGTCTTGTAGTAGACCCTATGCGATGCGGTAAGAGCTGGAGAAAACAGGAGGCGTGGTAAAAGGAAACACACAGGGGTTTAATAGTGCACAAAATAATAGTGCCAGTCTGTGAGACAGTGAATGGGGGAGACAGAATGGCATCCAAATCCAAACAGGTCCAAAGGCAGGTCAGGGCACAGTCTGGAGTCCAGCAGCGAGTAATCCATCCTGGGACGCGACAAGGTTAAAATCCCCGGGAGGGGGGAACACGCGAACAGACAAAACACGGAGGTCCAAGAGTGACGGGGCGAGATCCTCCAGACCCCAGGCTCAGGAAGCGGGAGGTGTCGGGAATGAGGCCTATGGGCTCAGGAGACGGACGTAGGGTTTCCTGGTGCTAGGCGGGCCTCACAACATCCTTACCCTAATGATGAGCCCCGAGGACTGGAGGAGCTGGTCTTTAAATAATACACATAAGGGGGTACACCTGGGGAGCTTAGCAACAATCACAGGAACAATAACAGGAGTAGTGGAGCACCCTCTAGGGAGGGATGTCAGGTGTGACACTCATCAGCAGAGACATTAGTCAAGACTAAAGGGAACATAGATGGAGCCAAAAACTAAGAGACAGACTTTTCAGACCTAAAACTGGGACAAAAATTCACCTTTCAGCAGGACAATGACCCACAACACAAGGCCAGAGCGATACTGGAGTAGCTTAAGATTAAGAAAGTGAATGCCCTTGAGTGGCACAGTCAAAGTCCTGATTTAAATCCTTTGGAGAAAGGATTTATAGAAAACATGTAAACTACTGTCCATAAGTGATCCCCAGGAAACTCGAGAGAGCGTGACCAAATCCAGAATGGGCAACAACTAGACTGAGGGACTATGCAAAGCTGATAGAGTCTTACCCAAGTACTGCTGAAGGCGCCTTCACCAAATATTGAATTTGCGGTTCTGATTACTTACACAATCAACATATTTCAGTTTTTTTCTCTTCTGTTTTTTTGCTGGCACTGTAAATTATCTTATAAGCAGAAGTCTCCATTTTGAGCTTTCAGGTTTTGAATAAAATATAAATAAAAAAATGTTCATCATTGTGCAGTGTCACAAAATGGCACCTTCCTTCATTGGATGGGTCTGAATACTTTTGAGTAAATCACTGCCTTTGTATTTATACTGCAAGTGAATACTACAGTATGTCATTGTAATGACAAGGCCTGTAGTAGTGGGTTAAAGGTCAGGGAAGCCCCAGGGAGAGCTGAGTCTTGCAACGGTATCAGAGCAACCTCAAATATGATCTTAAGAGTCAATATTTTATTGGGTGGACTGTAGGAAAGGATCTGTAAAGAACCAAAATAATCTAACAAACGTTGAAAGCATGTAGATATTGACCTTGACAGCACTGATGGTATCAATGGTATTTTAAATAGATATTTTAACATATGAATGGTATTTTGTTTTGTTTTTTCAACCCAAATTCCTTCCTATCCTGTCTGGAAGGTTCAGCTTGTTTCCAAGGTACAGAATTTAAATAATGTCAGTGACTTGGGAAACGTGAATATCCTGAAATACTGAAAAATATCAATTTTAAAAGACCCTCTGGACAATCTGAAAAATAGTCATAAAATGTGTGGGAAATGTCCACTGAATTCCGGTTATACTACCTGAATGTTCACTTGTATGGGTTGTCTCTCCCCGCTTTTGGTATGGGTCACTCCTTCTGTATCGTAGAACCCGGTGTACGTGACGGCTTGAGGGTCCTTCGACTTCTGTTCCAACGGGAAGTTTACCCCGCCTATGCCCATAGAGCTGTTCATCACAAAGAATATCCTGGTTAGTCTAATATTAAACTCAGCAGTACCATAGCACACTGTTACCACCGATCTGGCATTAACTAGCGCCGGTTTTAAGTCAACTCGCGGAGAAAACTGCGTTCTCTTGCACACACCAATGAACCGATATCCGGCTGCTGTCAAACTGAGCTCAGCATCGGTTGTTCAGAATGTAGCTACTGTAGCTATACTGTATATTGCCAGTACGTGAACATATTGTCGTTGATAGTTAAGGGACCGCAGCATGGTTCTGAGCACACAGTTACAAATTCATTACGAAAAAAATAGGTCAGTCCGACGGCACAGTAATAAAAACAACCTTTCTCCCGACATAAATGGTGGGAGGATTTATTCTCCACAGTGGATTTGCCAAGCAGCTGGGAGCAGCAATCTGGCCGCACCTTCTGTCAATATCTTGCCCTTGAATTGAATAAAAGGTATATAATTTGAATTAAAATTATTTAGACGTATTTTATACCGTCCGTTTCTTATGCACTAAAGATAGTGCGACTGCACTAAAACAGAGCGATATGCATACGTGAAACTGTCAATGCATTTTTAATTATCGGAATACACCTAGGGTTCGCTTACAGATGTACAATCAATACTTAAAATAATCTCAAAGCATCATGTGCTTCTGTTCTATATGAAAAGTATGAAATAAAGCAAGGGCCTAGACAATTATCACAGAAAGAAAGAAAAGACGGCGTCAATGGATTCATAAAAGATCACACTTTTGAATGAAAAGCTGTTATAATTAGATAGCAATATTTACGTGAAGGTATATGTGTTAATCTAGGTCCGTTTTTAATGCATATAGTGTGTAAATATTTGTACTTACGTGGCTTCAACTGCTCCAGGCTTCACAACCACTTCAATTTTGTACTTTGAACCGGTTAGCAATTTTATTGTCCTGTTCTGACCGAATCTCTGACCATCCACCTTAAAATATACCGGCCCGTCATTGGGTTGTATTTTAAGAGAAACGCTGATCTTAATTAATTGTGGAATGTCGCCCATTATGCATAAAGACTATTCCTGATTTAAACAAAAAACTGAATTCCCTAGCAACGGAATTGATAGCGAGCGCAAGAGAGCTCAAGAGTGAATTTCTAATAATAGGAGGATATTGTGACGTGCTCCCCACGGGAGGAAAACGTAGAAGCACATTGCCGATAAAAGTCCCAGTCAAATTTCAATTCTGCCCGTAATCCTTTCCTGATTGCGGAGATAATCCACCATGCACGTCTCAGGGAAACGTAAGAGCTCGTATTTGCCACTGCGGCTGCTATAAAACTCTACTTCTGAAGAGACGTTATTATTTTTGTCCTGACAAGCAGTTGAAAATGGGTTGAATGAAATAAGCGATTCTTGAAATGTGTTTTACCGCTTCATCACACACTTGAAGTAATAGATACGTGGAGGTAGATGGAACGTCGTCGGGGATAGATACACCTAGATTGAGATAGTTCTTAAAAACGTATAAAAAATATTTTTTAGAAAAATAATGTGGACGGAGACTTAGTTGTAACCAACACGGATGATTCAGTTACCATGTGGTAATAGATTTAATTACTGTTAAATACATCAGTATGAACCCAGAGGCCAGTTTAGTCCATACATGTAAAATGTGTACAGTATGTCTACGTTTCTCTGTCCAGAGTGCTGAAACAAGAAAGAATTCAATTTATCGGCGCCTTTAATTTAAAGGTTAAACCAAATACTCACTCCTTCGCACACACGTCTTAAAAATAAAGCACAGTCCCACTGCCAAGATACCTCCCCCTTTAGTTACGCGTGTATGGTTCTCAATTAAGGCTATCATGTTTATGTATAGCCGTTAAATTAATTATTTTTATGGCTTTCAAAGTACCCTAACCCTGCGACAGAAACTTGTTTGGGCTGATTTTACGCCAGATGCAGTACTCGCAGACACTAATTAATCAACTGATTATTTCTTTCAAACTAAATTTAAACAGCTCAGTTCCAGCTGTGTCTGAATGCAAGTTTACATTATATGCTTCGTTCTCAGAACAGTGCGGCGTTTTCGTAATAATAACAAGATAAATGGTATCTTCTAAGAGATTCATCATCATAGTAGAACATTGCTATTTAAACTGAGTTCCCTTACTATTATTAGTAACTATTAGTAATTATTATAAGGAAACTGGAAACGTTGTCTTGCTAACAGCAGAGAGCGCTCCAAGCGTACTTTTGTCCCGAAAGCTTTTCCTGAACAGACTGCACAAACGCCTTCAAATTTAAGCAGATCATTATTGAAGTCTCCGGACACGAGTGTTCTCGTTAGTGGTGTGTACCACATGGCTCCAAAAAATAAATAAATGGGAAGGTTAAACAGCGGCCCTTTGCACTTGCAAGAAATGGGCTCGAAGAGGCCAACAGCCACACCTTGGATATCTGGGAATTGATGCGTGCGCGTCATTTTCCCCCCAGCGGCGATCGGCAAATGCTGTATGGAAAAGTAAATTAAACATGTCTGGTGAGCACGTCCTTGGAATCCAGATCCAGTGTCCTGGAATCCAGGTCTCGGAACATGATACCAATCGTGTTTGGATAATTCCACAAACTAAACGTGGGTAGTTCTGCATTTTTCTTACAATAGATGACATTTGTTTCCACTTCCCCATACTGAAAAGCCCAGCAGGCGATTTGTATTCTGTTAGTAATGACTGAATCACAACAGTGCCCTCTGCCTATGAAAAAAGCTTTTCCTGAGTAATGAGCCAGTCAGACTCAGAGTACTTCAGAGTTCAGATCAATAAGTTATGATTAGCCCCTAGGAATGTTATCACAGTATTTCCCACATGTTTTGGAAGAACCACTTTATTATCTAAATACAGGCATTATTTTGAGAAAAAAAAGAGTATGTAATGGTTTATCTCCCTCACTCAATTTTTTCCTTGTTTCACATACTGATTCTGAAACCTGACCACTTATAATCCAAGTGAAAGTGTTTCAGTGGATGTGTGTGGATTTAACATTCACCATTATGATACAGTATGTGTGTAGAATATTATTAGCACTGTGATGGTTTTTCCATGTCAGCCATTTCCATGTGTGTTGTTTTCACTTCTAGATTAGTCCATTTCTTCTTGTAGTCATTCTCATTGCAGGCTTTGTGTATGAGGGGTGAAGTGAATGGGTGGATTTTAGGGCCAGTTCCCCCAAAGGCAAGGTGTCTGAGCTACAGTACATACTTTAAAGGACTTAGCAGACAAACGACAAAAGGGGTGAAATATAGATTAGAATAATCATGTATTTGATTATAGAGTTGATTCACTTTTAAGTAATAGAGAATTAACTTCTATGGAAATAGCAATGATGGAACTGTTAACCCTGAGTACCACACAGCCATAGGGTCCCCTAGCCTGAAGATGTGTTGAATAGTGGAACAAAAATGTGAGAAATATTACCATACTATAAAATATCAACAGATTTTGCCAAGTTTCTCCTTTAAGTACTGAGGTTCTTGGAGTTTGTGTTCATATTTTAGGTTAGTGTTCTCTACTCCTGGACTTGACACTCATCAGTGTTTTCTAATAATAATCCTTATACTCATATAGTGCTTTACTTGACACTCCAATCAAAGTACTTTACAGGTAATGGGAACTCCCCTCCGCCACCACCAATGTGTAGCCCCACCTGGATGATGTGACAACAGCCAAAGTGTGCCTATATGCTCATATGCTAACCAGACATCAGCAATCAGTGGGGAGGAGAACAGAGTAATAAAACTAGTTTATAGATGGGGATTATTAGGAGGCCATGATTGGTAAAGGCCAGGAGAAAATTTGGCCAGAACACCTGGATCACACCCCTACTCTTTTCAAGAAATGACTGTGAAGAGTCAGGAACTTGGTTTAATGTCTCATCCAAAGTATGGCATGTTTTTCCAGTTTAGTGTCCCCATCACTATACTGGGGCATTAGGACCGACACAATCCACAGAGTGAGTGCTTTCTACTGGTCCCACAAACACCTCTTCCAGCAGCAACTTGAGCTGTCCCATCAGGTCTCCAACCTAGGTAATGTACTGGCCAGACTCACACCTGCTTACCTTTCTGGTTCCTATTCCCACTTCAATTACTTAATTACATGTTGATTTAATTGATCAAAGTGGGTGCTTCATTTTCTTACTGTTGGACATTGTTGTTCCCAGCAAAACCTTCAGGGCTGTGTCACTACAGGGAAATGGGAGGATTGATGCTTCTGAGAAATATGGTTATGAAGTTTGGAGTTAACATTTATTTTCTATTGTATTCATTCAAATTATATTCAATGCACTTTCTTTCCAGTTTTTCCTTCCAGTCTTGTACATGCATTCCAGGGGAAGAATCAACTACACTATATTTTACGAAATTCGGATTTTTTTTTACTTTTTGCTCATGTATTTGTTCCCAACTGCAACTCTAGAAATGAAATAGTTCATAATAAAATGAGCATTAAATGTAATTATTATTCTCGTCTGTTAATTTCTTCTGGAACCAATCATTAAAGGTGCAGTATCGCAAACATGGGAACGTCAGCACAACCGAGCTACTGCACAAATCGATTTAGATGCAAGGTGTGACTAGTGAGCACACGCACGTACAATGTAAGAAAAAACGGCAGAGATCCTGCTCGTCTGCGTTAGGTCTCTTAAGCAAAACTGGAAAGATAAACAAGGAACTCCCTATAATGTGCACAATTACGACGTACTGCAGCTGTTCGGGTCCCATACTACTTGCACGTTTACACTATAGTTCTAGTAACTGTACGAATTATGTAGTGTTGCCTCTGTTCTAGTGAAAGTAGAACCCATGCCTCTCAACAAAAAAAACAACAACATAAAAGACACTTTGTCTTTCGCTGCACTAAAAATGTCTTTTTAACTAAAGGTGCGGTTACACTTTCCTTCGCCCATGATGCAATTCCCCGGCTCATGTCTCAACCAACCACAGCATGATAGAACAGGCAGCGTGTGATATCAAACGCCGGAAGCCAGCGATTGTCTCGGTGGGGAAACTGCAGCTTGCGTTGTGTCAAATAGGCTGACACAAGACAAACAAGTTCAAATCTCTTTATGGGGAGATCTCTATTTTCATCTCGCTTCGTCTTTGCAGGCACACTCGAAGTGCCTCTTCCTTTTCCATGGTTGTTTTTTTCTGTTTTTATATGCTTTTTTTGTCTGCTTTTTGTATCACTTAACAATACTGTATAATATCATACTCCAGGTCTTGATTTGTAGGGGATTGTGGATTACAAGGTGATATGCAGGACAGCACTGCTCCTTCACAGCTCTTGTGTCTCTAAAGGCTAGGTTAACTGGTGTATCTGTTGAGTGTGTCCTGTGTGTCACATGGCACCTAAACAGGGGTGTGGTAGGACGCTAAGGTCTACAGTGTCTGCTCACACTCTCCATGTAAGAAAACAAAGCATTTTGACTGCCGGACAGGCACCGTGTATATTAAAACACTTATACCTGTATAACAATATACAGCTATACTGTAGATACACAATCCGCATGTAATACGGAGTAGAGAGTAGAGAGTACTTGTTATATGCATTTAGTCATTTGCCTCTAATGTTCTTGATTTTGAATTTTTAGTTCTTTCTAATTGCATCCAAATCTGAAGACTCATTTACCCTAGGAAGGCCCTGATGTAGCCTCTCAGATATCATACTTTTAAAAACAAGGACAACACACCAAGGATAGGACCATTCAGTATAAAATATCAAGGACTGTTTTCTTCACCATACAGCGCTTGTGTGACCTGATCACCCTACAGCTTGAGACCTTCAACTCAGTTTCTCTTTACACAATATATTTCTGTAGATGTGTCAATTTCCTGCTTTAAACTACTGACCTGTGCACACATACTTTGAGGAGCGTGTCAGTGAATGTTTGAAGAATTTAAAAAGTGAATATATTATTTTCTTCCATAAAGCATATGAGCTTTATGTTTCTATTAAAGTGGACACACCTTTGTAACATGATAACTCCACTACTCTAGTCACAAATAATGTCTTTCTCATAAAGAGATGAGAGGGCTATTTCTTTATTTTAAACAGTACCTTAACAGATTTGAGGAAAAGGCAGGATTTGGGATTTAGAGACAATTGGCAGTACCTTCTGGTAAAGTGAACAAGAATCTTAGGCTACTGACATTTTTATTCTTAAGAAATATCAACATTTTAGTTTGTGCAGATAAAATACCATAATACTGATTAATAAGGGAGTATGTGTTTGTGGGGTGGGGAGCATTTTGAAAACTGTATTCATTCAGTCACATTTTTCTGCATTTCAGGGCCAAGGTACATTCCTGTGCTACTTTCTATTGCAGGCATATTTCAAATTAAGAAAACAAGGCCTTTGATGTGAGGAAAATAGAAAATAAGTGAACATCTCAGACACTCAGTGCAAGATGTTCTTCTGCATAATTAGATATTTTATCTGCAATTAAACGTTTCATCTGTGATGCCATGGTAATGAGTTATGGGGGTGGGACGTTCTGAATACCATGTGTTGTGAAAAAAAAAACTCCCGAAGTGTAAGGACTGACCACATAACAGCTCTCTGATCTGAGATATGAGAGAGGAAATTATATAAGCTCTGTTCCCACGTGATTGACAGTTTAAGGAACCGTTCTGAAATTGAAGTAAGACATTGAGTTTGCTAGTGGGGAGTAAACGAGCTACAAAGAGTGCTCAAATTAAGAACACAAACAGACAGTGAACATTTGGGAAGATGGAGCCAAAACAGATCAGAGAGGGCTACTTAGTGAAAAAGGTAAGATGGGATTCAAATACCATTTCCTTCAGTTATACTATTTAAATTGAACATGAACAGGAACTGTCTAGCCTTTCCTGGAAAATTAACAAGATTTATAAAGAGCTGTGCAATTAAATATTAAACTGCAACAAAATTACAAAGATCTTACTGATAATTCTGTTAACAAGTTTGGGTAGCATTTATTGCCAAATAGGATATCGAGTAAGACTTGACTATTGCAGAAATTGTGCATAAATTAGAGATAATCTTTGTTTAATTATTTAAAATACAGCTATCACTTTCTTCTACTAAATGGCATTGTAGTTAATCATTTCAGTTTACTATTGCATTTTAACTTTATTGACCAGAAATATATCAAATTAGAATGAAGGTTGCCAGATAGTACTGAAAGATTTTATTTGCTGTCTAAAACCTTCTGCAACAACCGTAATAGTTTGAAAGTATAGGTGTTGTTCAGAACTCTCTTTTACATGTATAGGATGTACAGGAAACTGTTAAACTTGTCTAAATACAAACCTACACAATTGAAAACTGTGTGAGTTTAAGATTAAATCTTTATTTCTTTTTGATCATCATGGAAACAAAATATTGTTTATGGTAATTCATTATTTACCTCCATGGAAGGGACCCGGCATTGGCACAGGTTTTCATATTTCCTTCTTTATTCATTTGCAAATTCAATGATGCCGTCCTCTGTGTGTTCACCACAGTTGTGACCGTGAAGAACGCTCTGTGCTGCAGGTTCCTGTTTTGTAGACTGCAATGCTCGTACATTTGCGAGGGTGAAGGTGAAAATATAAGTTCTGACATTTCAAACAGGAAGCTTAAAAGAGTTGAAAAGACAACTGAGATAGAAAACACATTTTTATAAATAGCCCACAAAGCAACCAGAGCTGAACCAAATGAAAAAATACATTGGGTTTATACAGATGTAAGAGGTGTAAAAGAATTTACAGACGTGCAATTCTCCATTTCTTCGCTCTAGGAAGGACAGGAGGATGTTTTGACAATGTGCAGAATACTCATGTTTTAAGAAACTAATCATGTTGTTGCAGGACTCTGAAATATACAAGTTTTTAAATACATTAAGTATGAGGTATATTACTAATAAATGCACTTATGAGCTTTAATGAGACCCTAGATTTTCAGCGGGCACGTATACATTTCTAGATACAGTAGATGTAGAAAGTATAACCACTTGGTATTGTATCAAGGCAGAGCCAAGCGTGTATGAAAACAGGAGCAACACAGTGTGACCTTTAAGCAGCTTTTAGTCATGGAAACTTTAAAAAAACAGCTTCAGAAATACACAACTTATTCCTTTTTTGGCATAGGAAGAGCTGTGTCACATCAAAACTGGAAATAGCAAGCCCAGTGATCATTCATCATCATGAAATGCATGACATGACTGCATTACAAACCATGCAGTAATATATGAACACATTTTATTAGAAATCTTGAATATATATAATTTTTATACTGTTAAAAGACAATGAACAGAACTAGGTTTAGCAGCTGCTACTCAATATTTTGATTTTCTGTGGGCTTTTAACATTCATTTCTGTCGATATCAAAAACACTTTTCTAATTTGTCTGGACCATCACATTAAGTCTTCAGTTTTAAGAAGCTGTATGTGATTGTGCATTATAGAACTCATCAAGATGAAATGAGATACTTCTTACTTAAATACATTAATATTACATCCTGCTTTACCATTTTACTTATTATTTAAAAAGGTTTACACATTAGGACCAGTCATTCAGTGACTTGCATGTTCTGGGGATTTGAATGCTGATGGTGTTGGATATGACACTCTGATATTCTGTATTTTGAAAATGTATTTGAAAAGACTTTCTTTATTTTGAAAAAAAAGCTAATGGTTGGGTGTTATTTTAGCCAACAGCGCATAATTTTTACATCGCATTTAAATGAGATAAACAAAAACTGTCTCAGAGCACTAACTTGGTATACTCCGTACAACTTCCCCTTCTAACTGACCAAAGTCAGGCCTGTCACTAATGCTACCAGATCTTCATTACAGCAGTGCTGCAAAACTCAGAGGTAGGCTCAATGTCTCTAACACTTAGGGACTAAGTGGAAAAATGGGAGAGTGTTTGAGTCTCTCCCAGAACCAGACACTCTTGAACATTTTTAATTATTTTAAATCATTATGGGCATTAGGTGATTCAGGTGATTCATAAATACATGTGTACTGTATATGCTCCAATGAGTGCATATGTTTATTGTTAGTCAGCTTCTTCTTATCAGTTTAACTGGAGGATATGGTACTGGGATACCAGCCTTTCGCACTGGGACCTTTTCAGCCAAGATGTGAGCATTTAATTCCACTGAGCTATAAATCATACATTAGCATACATCGAGCTTATTGGTAACTGTGTTTGTTTTTAAGTGGTTTAAAGAAGGATCTATAAACAGGTTTATCAGTGTGTGTCTGCTGCTGATATGCTTAAAAAAGTTGTGTTCCTTAAAAAAGTTATGTGAATAACTCCAGTTCTTTTTTAGATTACTTACTTGCATATTTGCACTTTCACTTTGATAAACTCTGAGACTATTTTTACTTTTTTTCATGTGCATGTTTATTTTCTTGCTGATTTTCCACTAAGAGTGTCAGGATTCTGAGTCATTTTCACCACTGTGTTACGCCACGTAATTCTAAAAACAGAAGTGCTTTAACTGTTTTTAGGGTTCCAAGTGGTGGAAGTCTAAAGGTACTTGTAAGGATATTGAACTACTATGGCATCTGTAGTTTGGAGAAGCTTTGTATAATAGTGAAAAGACAAATGACAAAATAAAGTGTAGTTCAGTGTGAAGTTGAGTTACAGGGTACAAGGTTACAAAGTACCAGGATTGGCAAGGCCTGTAATGATTTTCTTTTATACTCACCTTTGAAGCTGGCATCCAGCCTCAAAAAAAGAGGGCAGCCTGACCTGGATATTCAAAAATGCTTTAAAAACCTTTATAAGAATGGCTGCACCAACTGAATTGAAACTTACTTCAGCAACATGCTTTGTAAAGCTTTGTAAAATGTGTACCTGAAAAGTTGTTCCAATAATTTGTAACTTGTGCAATGGGTCATACAAGATTTTAAGAGACGTGGAATTTATACAGACTACTTCTATTTTACAGTACCAATAAAGGCATGTATTTCAAATGAAAGAAGACCAGCAGCATTAAGTCGATTACAATTGAATTTTATCACAAATATGTTATGTTCTCTTTTCAGAAGAACAATTTATCATGCACTGATCAGAAGCTTTATCTTTTAAATAGTGTTTGGTAGGGTAGGATATTTTATTCTTATTCTGTACACCCATTTACTGTGTTTGTAAACTTTTAAACTATAAACTAAGTTCTAAGCTGTTAATCTTAAAGGTATGTTTCTCTTTAAATCACAATTGACTCATTTTGAAAAGTTAAGGAACTGTGCGGGTTCTGTTTGTGTTCTGCATATCCTTACGTTCCTTTTAGTACTTTGTAGTCTTATTATTTAAAATCTCTGTACTTTCTTGAAAAAAACAAAACAATATATGACCAATATATTTTCAAATGCGGCATATATTTATAATTGTTCCACAGTATGAGGCATGATTATGGGAGTTGTATATTATACTACAAGGGTCACACCTCTGTGAGCAAGCCACTAAATTTGCACATTTTTGCTCTGTCACTGGTATCACAAAATACCACCGGGTACTTCAATGAATTTAGTAAGTATTGGTGTTTTAAATTACAAAACTTTCTCACAAAACATAAGATGCTAATGAGAGCTCTGTATCTGTTCTATTTAGAGTGAGCAGGAAAAAGCTGTCTTTATGCTGTCTGATTTTGGTCTTGGAGAACAGTTCTATTATGTTGAGAAAAGCCTATGAAAACTCAAGAGAATCTTTGAGGAGGAGAAATTTAACATTTTTCTTTCAAGCTAATGCAAGTTGGTAAATGGATTGGTCACCAAACATTTTAAACCAAACTATTTTAATTAGGGCGTAGATGGGATTCAAAAGAAGGAGGAGGGATTTATGTTTGTGTTTTCTCTTCTGTAGATTTTAAATTCTGTGTTGCTTTGCCCTTGTAAATAAAGGCACCTCAATAACTGAAAACCATTCCTAAGATTATTGCCTAGTGGCCTATATTGCTGCCTAGCTGCACTGAGTAGGAGCCCTGATCTGTCAGGAATCCTGGAATAACAAGCAGCAAAAAACAATGAACATGGAAAATTAAACATGCTTTTGAAAGTGCATCTGCTTGTATTTTTCTGAAATATCAGTATATTAAATATATAGAAACAAAGTGGAGAGGAGTCTATAAAACATGAGGAGCCTGGGAGACATGAATGGTCTAAAAAAATAATGTAGGGCACAAAAAAGATTTAATGTGAGAGGTTTGTAGGACTGTTTACTTTTTGTAAATTCCTAATGTAAGGATGCCTTTGGTTTTGCAGTTTCTTGCTAGTTCTGTGGTTGGTGTGTGAACTGTAGCCCCAGAGACTGCATTAAGGCCACAAAGGCAGCATGGCTGTGGTGGTCAGCTACTGATCTGGTGGTGTGTTCCCCACAGGGCACAGTGTTTAACTCCTGGAAAGTCATGTGGGTGGTGCTGTCAGACGATGGGATTGAATTCTACAAGAAGAAATCAGACAGCAGCCCCAAAGGCATGATCCCCCTCAAGGGGGCTTCTTTCATCAATCCCTGCCAGGATTTTGGGAAAAGGATGGTAAAATAAAAAGTCATATCCTTTTATCTACCTTTGTGACTGCAACTGAAGTGATATTCTGCTCAAATTGCAGCCATTGTGTTTAAAAATCGCAGTTAATCGTGCTATAGTGCTATTATTACAAAAAGTAGCATTTTTGTTTTATGGATGTGTAGAGGGGAATGAATGGTGTTAAATATGAGAATCTACTGAGAATGAGCTGATGAGATTTGATGGTCTGGTTTAAGTTGTACTGCTTGTAGTGTTGAAGATCCTGTTTGATGTGAGCTAAATATTTAAAAATGCCAAGTTGGCTTTCTTTTCATTCCAATTAAGCTCTATAGACAAATGTAAAAGGCGGTATAGTAGGGTTCAATAGTGAAACACACAAACAAATCTACAACCTACATGAATATAAAGTAATAAACACCACTTTTGTTAAAATAACTGAAAAGAAAGAGAAAAAAGAGAACATTAAATATACTGTATGTCTGCTACATTTTTATTTGCAGCTTGTCTTTAAACTTAGTACACCAAAAAAACAGGACCACTATTTCCAAGCAACCCACCTGGAGGAAAAAGAAGCTTGGGTTAAAGACATCAAAAGAGCCATCACATGTCTTGAAGGAGGAAAGAAATTTGCAAGAAAATCAACACGGAGGTCCATCCGGCTGCCAGAAACAGTCAATTTGGGGTAATGCAGTTTAACCTGCAATCTTTAAAATCACACATTAACAAGGATTAATGTTCCAGTGATGTTGATGTCTGTCCTGTATTCTGAGATGACATGTGCCCTCTTTCTTTCAGAGAATTGTATGTTTTAATGAAAGACCAAGAGTCAGGGGTGAAGGAGCTGAAACTTGAGAAGGAGAAAAGAGTTTTCAATCATTGTTTCACAGGTAGTACATTCTTGCACATCCTTGTAGCTGGTGACAACAGAGTTTAAATAAGAGATTTTTCCCCTCCGTCTGATTTTCAATTGGTAGCTGTCAATAAAACTGGAGATGTAAATTATTCTTATTGCATACTGCCTGGGATGTTAGAATAGTGTGTTAGTCTGACCAAAATGACAAAAGGAAACCACACAGACATTAAATATAGCATGGTGTGTTAATAGTGTGAGCTGAGAGGATTTAAGTTCACTTTTCAAAATTGCAAAGCTCAGTAAAAAGTGCAATACTACATTTTGTATTTTTATAAAATAGTAATCTTTTACAGTATAAACCATCCTTTGGAAATTATGACAAATGTTATTTTCTCAGCAGGGACCAAAACTAGTTGTAAAATTGAGCATTAATGTGTTTCTTCCTGATTGGTTTAACTTTATCCCGAGTGAATAATAAATGATATAAACATAACAGGAACATAACAGAGTAAAACATAAATTACAGAAGTATAGTAAGTTACATTGCAAAAAAAGCAAATCTCAGCACTTCACATAGTGCTGTCTAGGAGATGGTGTGATATAAACATACGTTTAGGTTGGTGTGGCAGAAAATACTATTGTATGGATGGTTAAATGAGATAGCAGCAGTGCAGAGCAGTAGAAGAGGGAACAGTAGCTGGCTGGACATATGAGGGCTGTATGGATAAGTGGCCTTACAGTAGGCGCTGGAAGGCAGTAAGAGATATGGGAACTTTTAAGCTTGTGTGCAGGTAGATTAACCACAGGGCATCACATACTGTATGATGAGAGGGCTGAGGTTTGACGTGTCTCAGAAACCTACAGCCACATTGTCAATATGCCCTCAAGAAAAAGAAATCGCTTGGAGTACTCCTGGTTTGTCTGAAACCAATGCCCTTATTTGCACACCTCGTCTGTTCCTATCAGGCAGTACAGTAATTGACTGGTTGCTGTCCAACAACAAAGCAAGGAATCGCCAGGAGGGCCTAATGCTGGCCACCGCCCTGCTCAATGAGGGTTACCTGCAGCCTGCAGGAGAGCTGTCCAAGATGGCAGCAGAGGGAGTCGTGGAGTGCACCCTCCTCGATCAGCCTGATGCCCTTTACTACTTTGTAAGTACTGATGTCCATGCAATTCTGTCTTTGCAGTTTAGCCTGTCCATGCTTGTCTGACATATTGTCTTGGAAGAGGCTTTTAGTCTTCTGTTACACACCTGAAGGCACATGGGATGAAAAAGATATCTCCATTGAGTATTTTTATAATGGTTTCATTTTGTTTTATTAAAACCCTTGGGTTTTGTCTTGGGCAAGTACAATTTGTGATGAAGGCACCTGGTTCTGTAACTGTAATTTCCTGTTATTTTATCTGCTATTAGAAAAAAAAATACAGTTTTTTTTATATAGACTTGGATTAACTCAGTTTTCCTCAGTTGTAGTGCTCTTACCTAGTATAGTTTTGTAAACCATTTAAAAGATTAAAATACTAATGGAAATGTTTAACAATAAGTAAGTAATATATACGCTTTCGCTTTGTCAATTGCTGTACTACCTACATATATATTCTGTGGTTTTAACATAAATATTTTTTGTAGGCTGACAGTGGCTTTTTCTGTGAGGGCTACTCAAGTGATGAAGACGTGGTTTTGAAAGAAGAGTTCAGAGGCACAGTCATTAAGCAGGGGTGTTTGTTGAAACAGGTTAGAAGTACCGCCTATACAGTTTTAGTAACATTGAACAGTCAAGTAAAGCACCGTGTGTCTTAAAAGACAAAGGTAATGAGTTTCATAGTGGCAAAATGCCTTGTGGCAAAGAAGTGTCAGTATAAATGGAGAACTAATATGCCTTTCTATTCGGAAAAACAAAATATGGTCGACCACCTGTCTGTCTATCTGAATTATCAGATAGATTCTTTTTACAAACTTACAGGGTGTTAAAGTGAAAAAAAATATTTTAAAAGGAAACATTTTTTATTTGCAAGTAACATTTCTTTTTAAAATCACTCAGTTCTTTTAAGATGATTTTCACATTTAGCATCGTTTATCTTAGTATCGTCAATGATTAGTCTTCTGTGTGTTTGATTGATCGCGAAACGTCAGCTGGCTCACAGCTGGACATGAATCGAGGGAAAAGGGTCAGTGGAAGAAACAGTGATTCAGTAACTTGGACTTCATGTTAAAAGAGCACAAAAAACATGTTTTGGGTCTATAGACTTTTGCTAGAGACTGAATATCTTAAGGTATTAAGCCCAAAAGAAGGACATACACTTCCAGAGTATTTGCAATGCTTTCTCTTCTTTTAATAGCAATTAATAAAAGAAAGTAACTCATGGTTGTTTCTGCATGAGTGAATGTGAAACCACATATCTTTGTAACAGGCAGGCTGAGCTGTGTTTAATAACATCTGCAGATACAGTACTGCACAACTTTGATGTGCTTCTGTATTTTTTAGATTTAATTCCCCATTTCTGTCTATAAAATTCATTGCTTAGATAAGGAAGTATTTTTCATGCTCTAAAAACCTAGAACTTTAGTACTTACATTATTAAATTAACTTCTCAAAATCTTGTAGGGGGAATTCTGCTTCAGACGCATTCAGTTATAATATACAGATGGTGGCTTCGCACCCTTGTCTACTCAGCCAAGCACAGACACCCGATGTCTGACCCTGCGGTCCCTCTCGTACTGAGCAGGAGTACTATTGCACCAAAACATCACCTCACAGCGCATGACTGGTGTTTCTGCCGCCATACCGCATAGCTTTCAGCGACACAGAAAACATGTTCCACCTGTATAAAACATGTAATTTGGATATTTTGTAAAATCTTCTTCTGCAGGGTCATAGGAGGAAAAACTGGAAAGTACGAAAATTTATTCTCCGAGATGATCCTGCTTACATACATTACTATGACCCTACCAAGGTAAGCGTTAAGGCTTTCTTTTCTGACATTGGTTAGAACCTGTGTTTGTAGGTTTTTTAAATATATATTAATATATTGCAAGGTACAGTGTTGCCTTGCTTTCTCTGCTTCTGGGACAAGTCCTGGATTACCATGACCAGACACCAGGAATGAGCATTTTTCAGATAATGGATGGATGGCTAGTACAACATATGTTGTTGTTATCCCTTTCACCAGTATAAATGCAGTAGCAACACTGGTAGCTTGGCTGGTAATCTCTCACCTCCTTCCTTCCTAGGGTGAAGAAGAGCCTCTGGGTTCGATTCACTTGCGTGGCTCTGTGGTGACTGCAGTGGAATATGTGCCAGATGGTAAGATGATTATATCTCTCACAAATTAATCAATTAGCACCATTTTTGCTTAAATAAAATTTAACCGAATAATCCACGGTGCACCAACTTTTAAGTGAAATTTGGTTTAATGTGTTAGAAAAAGTATAAGGTTCTAAAAAATATATGAAAGGTGAAAGGGTCGTTCCTCAGTACCTGCTGCTATCTCTCTTGGCCATAATTATTTATGTGCTAGACAGAATGTGCTTGTAAGGAGCTGCTGAAATGTCTGATAAGGACATTTAGTTTTGTGTTCAAGGCAGTGAATGAGCAAGGAATCCAGATGGTAGGATTGGCAAGCATTTCAGTACAGAGAGGTCAGGATCTTTGACACGTTACATACAGTATGTGCCAAGTAACTGTAGTTCATTACAAATCTGCTTAAGACTAAGACTTTTTGAAATACCTTGAGAACTTCACCTTTTATCAGGCTTTAATACAGTAAGATGTGTACTACAAAATCAATCAGTGTCCATTGTGCTATTGTGAATAAGCAAAGAGTTGTTCAGAAAAACCACTGAGGGAAAAAGTTTGCCTCTTAATTTAGAAATTATTGCCTTTTTGGTAACTTGAAAATGATATTTCAGTTTTCATAGAAATTAAGAACTGATGGTCAAGCTTTCTGGTTTTGCACCTCGAGGAACAAAGGTAGCAAAATTCCTCCTTTTATGTACAATCAATGAAACATGTCCCTTGCCTATCGGCGGATTGAGAAATTATTCCTCACCTGCAACCAGCAACAGATTTAGTTATTAACATGTTTGCCGTACTGCTAGGCTGAAAAGGGTTTGCCATTTAAGAGGGATCTACTGTATCTTTGGCCAAAAACCACTTGATTGCGAACAGCTGCCCAGATTACAGTGGTGAGGTCATCCGAGTCTTACTGAGACATGTAAACTAGAAAATCTAGTTTGAAGCCTAGCCTAAATTTAAATGACTGTATGCATGTGCGTACATTTCACTTGAGTTCTTTTTTTCTTTTCAGCTAAGAAGTACGACGTAGATGGAAATCTCTTCGAAATCATCACATCAGATGAAACTCACTATTTCCTACAAGCAGCTACATCTGAAGAGAGGAAGGACTGGATCCAGGCCATTCAGACAGTATCAAAAACGGGAAAATAGTGGGAAAGGAAGAATGGGACACAACCTGGAAACTGCAAAAGGAAACTGGCTTTGAACTGCTTCCTCCTTTTTTTCCGTCTTGAAACCAGTTAGGTAGTGAAATATTTATATTAGAAAATCGCCCTAGTCTAACATCATGCACCGCTATAAAATATTTTCTGAAATACACAATAATCAAAACTAAGTATTTAAATTTCCATTATATCGTTTACACTCATTTATATGTAAATAAAGTAAATTTTGTTTTTACCTGTACACAGACGTATTTTGAAAAAAAAAAAAGATTTCAACTGAATATAGTATTTTCATTTTATACAACACCAGACATGCCATAAACATAAATGTTATCGTGCCATCAGATTGGTTTGGCTGACGTTATTCAACTACTAGATTTTCTTGTGTACTGTATAAACAGTAACAGACTTAACGATAACAGAAGAAAAAATATTCTGTACATAATTCAGAGGTCAAAGCTTCTGAAAGTGTGGCATCTGACCCCTATTTCTGTAAATTGTCATGAGGAAAATCTATTCAATTTAAAATTAGACATGACAATATGTCTTCATGTCTCAGAGCAGGTTTTTAGTGTATTTAGTGTTGTGGCATCTTTATAATGTGTTTGTATGTGAGGATGTGTTGTTGGGTATTCTTTAACTGATCAAAAGTTGAAATCTGCAATATTTTATAATATTGGATAAATCACCCACCTAATCCAGATGTCCAGGTTTTGATTTTGTATTATATTAGCACATTAAAGACCTCCCTGACTTTTCTGTTAACAGTTTATTGCAACTTTTGGGAATTTGTAGTATTACAGTATGAATATTGCAGCACAGAAGTGATGTATGCAATCATGAGTTGTTGGAGTTGTTAGTGAATACTGAAAAACCTTTGACCCATTTCACTTTGCTGTTGTGTTGGTTACATGTTGCCAAGAATCACTGTTCAGGGCTTCAATTCAATTTGGTGGTTCCTTCAGTGTGTAGTCTACAAATATGCCCTTTGTTTGTGTGGGTGTCCTCCCACCTCCAAAAGGCAAGCTGGTTAGGTTGGACTACTCTAAATTATTGCTTTCTGGTGGTGTGTTTCAAGGGGAATTCATAGATGGTGATTTGTTCCCACTATAACTAGTAATGCCTTTGTGATTACGGCATTATGTTGCCTCTCTTTAATTGCAATACCTCAAAACTCCACAATAAAGAAAGGCCATTTAATACCATAGTCCCATAGCCTGTTAATGTAATAATCAATCTCACTTTTAACAAAAAAGAAATATAAAAGAATTTCATCTCAACTATCAGCCGTAATTGTATTTAAAATACACTGTGCCCACAAGACAAACTAAAAATCAAGGGTTTTAGTTTGGATTGAAAATCATTTGTTCCCTATTCCCCCAGTCTTTCAGTATACTTCCTCTGTCTAATCTGAAGATTGTGTTGGGAAATGCTGAGTTTTACTGACATTCAAAGACATTATAATAATTCTGCGAACACAAAAAAACTCTTCCTCTTTTTTTCAGATATTTATATTGCAGAATGAAACTAAATGTTATTTTTTTTGGGGAAAAGAAAACTGTTTTTAAAAGCTTGTTTTAGGACTTTTGCAGTTTTGTCTTTTGACATTTAAGATAATCTATTAAAATGCTACGCACAGATCTTAGCAGACAATATATATCTAACTATAATAGCAGGAAAAAATAGATGTTCTGTATTATCAGAGTTTGCAATACCCAGTAAGCTCGTCTTACCAACAAAGAGTGATTCCCTATTCTTTCTGATTATTAAAATAACATAAAATATGTTTATGCTTTCACATTGTATGTCTTCACCCTATTATAAGTACAAAAGAAATAAAATAAGATACATGGGATTCAGAGGAACTGAAAAATTGGGTGTGTACTGTACATAACCTCAATACACCCATTACCAGTACATATTTAAAGCCCAGCTGGGTTAGTATTGCACAAGGCAACATGAAAATGAAAAGAAAAAACAACACTACAGTGTAGTGCAGTGTAGATTACCACTGATTTGGTATATAATTATAGATACATAGATACATCTATGCTAGATTAAAGTTAAAAATGAAAATGGTTCCTTACCAGACTAGTAAATTACTCAATCTAATTACCAAGTTTGAAGGTTTTGTATATGCATCCTTTCTGATTGTTGATTCACAGTGCTCTAAGTAATATTAAATAATAAGGTATTAAAATAACATGCAGTGCAAGAAAATAAAATTAAAAGGCCTACCCAAAAAACACACACACACAAAGCCTGCAAATAATGCTGGGATCACACAGGCAATGGAAACTACTGAAGTAAAAGAACACAGCTGTCTTTGTTATAATTTAGATGCTTTTACATGTTGTGTTTGCTAACACACAATTGAATGTATTTAATGTTGAACAGCTGCTTTTTGTACTGTGTGTGATCTAATGCTTACACATCAAATGTCTATATCTCCACTGAGCTCTGAAGAGCTGTAGACACCTTCATATTGATATAACTAAGACAAAGGAAAACCAAAAACAATGCAACATACAATATTTACAAATACACCTCTGGAAAAACAATAGAAAAGTACATTAAACTGTTAAGTGTTTTTAATAATGGCTATAACATGGTATTACTGTATATCATAGTAGGAGCCCTTTCAGTTGTATTCAATATTTTTAATTCAGACCCAGGAAACTTCTCAGAGAAATCTATTTGATGCAGCAGGTTCCTGTTACTGAACTAACACAACTCATCTTGCCTCTTAGTGAAAGGTTGTCATTTTAAGTTTGTGATAATCTCTCAGGACTTTTTTTAAACAATGCACATATGCAGTAAAAGGCAGGCATTTTATCTAAGACAGGCAGCCAATTAACCATGTTAGCAGCGGATATTGTGGGCAGTGCAGTTCTGACAGAATGTGTCATTCTGCTTGTATCCATCCTTTATCATAAGGCATAAGTAATTTTAAACTGCTACCATGGTTGACTAATTTCAGAAAGTTACTAATTCACACAATAGCACTAAATAATAAATAGAATAATTATAATTATAATATACATAGCACTAAATAAATGTATATACACATCCAAGCTAAAAATGCTTTTGTCCTTTTTAAAATCTCTCTTTTCCCACACAATGTAATATAAATGGCTCATTGCTAAAACAGTTTCCATGCCCATACATAGATAAAACATACCATATACTCTTTACATAGGTTTTGGTGCAAAATGCATGTAAAATGTTTTATGGTGGATTAAAGTATGGCAATTCTAGCAATTTTATACTGTTTTTCTGGTTATTTAGTAAATGTCTGGGAGTTTTTTTTTCTTTTCAGCACATTTCTGTCTGACAGGATAAATTATGGTCTATTACAGCATGGCCTGCTGAAACATTTGACCAAGAATATGAAGCACATAAATAATACAAGATGTATAGTGATTTACTACTTACGATCATCAGATAAAAGTACAACACTGTCTCACTAAATCTTTTAAAGGACTAAAAATCTAACACTAAAGAATTCTCATACATATAATATACAGGTTTATACATTAAGTACTGGTGTTAGGTCTCAAACTGTCCACAATAGTACACTCAGTACACTAACAAATATAGCACCTTAAACAATACATTTGTTCTAAAACGATAACTGAAAAACCTGTTCACTTTCACAATGCGTTTTCTAATCTTTATAGAAATGTTTCATTAATTAGTTTTGTAGCCTCTAATGTTGTGTGCGTTTGTGCTATCTCCCCCTGCTGATAGCTTTAAGTGTTGCAAACAACAGATATTGTAGATTGTGTACTGTTTTAGAACTACTAGAGCCAGTGAGAAATTGCAATTTTCCTTCTTTACACTTCTTTAAACCCATTACACTGCCTTACAACATTTTTATATATATTGTACATGTATATATAAATTTGCAAATTCCACTGTATTTACATGAATAGAAAAATGATCAAGCTCTAATATATAATAAACATTCTTCAAGAAATGCATAAAGTAGTAGTTAATATAAAGAAGAATCAACAATAAAACTTATTGATAAAAAAAGCCTTTTGAAAAACCTTTGTGATGAGGCCTAAATATTTTTTGAAGTCTCCAATATTTTCACACTGGCTTGTGAATAGGTGCTGAATTTGTGTCTGTTATATGGCATGTTGACATTAAACTAGAACTTGCACAGATCTGTTTCCCATGATGAGTGTTTATTTACAACAAAATCAGGGACTGATTAAACAGGGAATTAAAGCACAGATTAATTACTTTTTTCTCCACATATTCTGAGCATGCAGAACATGGACAAAACAAAATAGGATTTACTGAATTTATAAATCCTATGTCTGATACGTTTTCAATAAAAAAGATAAAATTACACTGAAGGTATTAAAAATAAATTATTTACAAAAGGTACAGTAAATGTGAAAAAGGAGGTTCAAAATCCCCTTTTCAGAAGTGCTCCACACATACTGTACATCTGCAGCCACCCACTATCTTTCCAGCTCAGCTTCCAAAATTTTCCCCCAGGTTTCTGCATCTAAAGGGTACATGCTCTTATTCGGAAGTTCATGAGAAGAGCGAATGTTGCTGTATCTGCCATTGAGCCATTCTCTTTTCACACAGCCTTTCCAGTAGTTTCTAACTAATGTGACCTAGAAAAGGAACAAAAACAGACACAAACAAAAATATTACCTTTCTTGCACTAAACAATTACTGTGACTCTGTAAAATACACTAGCCAAATCCCTACATAATATTAACCTCATTACCCTGTCTAAATTAATAAGACTGAGTGGAACAAACTTACTTTATATAGTGTGCAGTTTACCCATGATGGTGTGAATTTGTGAGGACTGGAATTATATAATGTTCAATAATACTGATGTAGTCTTCCACTGATTCTACAATGCACTGAAAACAATGCCTGCTGAAACATTTGACCAAGAATATGAAGCAAATAAATAATACAAGATGTATAGTGATTTACTACTTACGATCATCAGATAAAAGTACAACACTGTCGCACTAAATCTTTTAAAGGACTGAAAAGCTAAAATCTTTCAAATTAATTGAAAACTACACGCTGATAAACTTTTGCATGAAATTGTTATGAATATAATATAATAAAAATAAAAATACTGACCTTCCAAGAAAACCCATCCCCTCTGTCCTCATCCACCTCTCTCTGACAGATAGCTCTGACTGTCAGGCAGTGATTCCTCCACAGGTGGTCACTGTTTTCAATGATGTTGTTCCAGAGTTTACACGTCACAGCAGCACTGCATAAGCTTTTAACGTCCAGCTTGCTGAAAATCTCCAGACTTATTTCTGGAGGTAATATGTCAGCAAAGTTGTATCCTTGGCCTTCTCTTGAGATCAGACTGCAGCTTCCTTCTGAGAAAGTAGAGGTATTTCTGTTTCTTTTAGAAACATACTGCATAGTTTGAAGTTCTCGCCTCTAGGAATGACAGAATGGCTGTCCTGAAAGCAAAACAACGCTCTTCAAAACGGCTCATTTTCAGATCTGAACATATACTAGTATTGGTATAATGTAAGAAAAGGTTTGTGAACCCTGTAGGTTTGTCCATATCTGTGCATATTTTAGATCTAAAACTTAATTAGATCTTCATGAAAGTCTTTATAAATTAAGAAAGTATCCTGATTAAGTATATATATATCATAATAAGGAACAAGTAATAGGTTTATTCCATGCTGAAAAAAAGAAGAAAGAGAACACAACGTTTCGGACGTGGAGCCTTCTTCAGGTGTGAGAGAGACAGGGCCAGCTCAGCTTCCAAAATTTCTCTCACACCTGAAGAAGGCTCCACGGCCGAAACGTTGTGTTCTCTTTCTTCTTTTTTTCAGCATGGAATAAACCTATTACTTGTTCCTTTGCAGCCTACGCATGCTGACGCAGCTACCCACCTGAACTATATATCATAATATATATATATGTATAACACAAAGACATAACACATACTTCAATTATTTAATTAACAAAAAGATCAACAGAAAAAAACTCCTCCAGGCTTCTCTTAAAAAATCTTTGTGATTTAATGCTTTTTTGGCTTCATAGACCATTGTGTCTCAAAAATCATTGAATTAGTAAATATAAACCCATTTGGTTTTAAAGACCAGGTTAGATGAAGCAAGACATCATGGTAAGAAATGGTAATTCCCACAATTCTATTGAATTTTCACAAACCTTTTCTACAATGAACAAGTAAAGGTTTATTCCAGGCTGAAAAGAGAAGAAAATAAACACAATATTTCGGCTGTGGAGCCTTCTTCTGGTGTGAAGAACCTACTTACTTGAACTACTCTTTCCTAACGTAGTGGTTAATCCCACTATCAGAACAAACTGCAATATTAGAACAAAAGCCTACTTTGTGAGAGTTCCTACCCCTTTTACACACGTAAGGTGTTCTGTAATTAATAACGCCTATTGATAAAATTACATTTCATAAAAAATAGTGTTCGCAATATTTTAGTGGGGTTAGTTGTTTAAATCGTTTTTCTAAATCCCACCGTTAATCATCCTCAGTAAAACGTGCTGTGCAAACCCACAATGGACAAAACTAAAAGGACCTTGAATAACAGTACTACAGAGCATTGTCGAAAACATCGAATAAATATAAAATTGTGTTATACTGTAATTTTTTTTTTGTGTGTGTGTGGGGGGGTACATTTAAAAACTCAGAAGATTTACTACTGGGGCAAATTAAGAAATATGTTTAGCTGTTCACTTCGCGGAAGTCTGCATTCATATCCTTATTTTGCCAAGAACTAAGCTGATATACATATATGTACACGACGAAATCCTATCAGATGCAATTATCACACGACAAAGGGAAGTGCAAGGTTACTGCAGATCACCGTTTATTACCGTCTTTTTGTGAAGGGGGGGAGGGTTAATCAAATTAACACTTACTGCCACGTATGTTTATGAACATAATCTCTGCCGGGTCATGAAACAGGGAGTAATGTTTACATTGTTATGAATATAATAACATATAAATATATAAATGGATATTTTGCAAACATTATAATCGCAGTTTACGTACGGGTACCATAAGTGTGTTTAACTTTGAATTGCTTTTTTAGATTTAAAAATTACCTGGCTCACCATATGCCGTTACCAGTGCTAGAAAATAAACAGATTACGCCTTTAACCGATCAGAAAATGAACGTTTTTAAAAGATAAATGACTGCTTTAACGCTTTAAAGTCACGACTTATTTTAAAATTAAAATCATAACTACATACAACTAATCTCTTTTTAAAATTACTAACTGTAGACCGTTTAAACTCATACCTTCTTATGGTTCACGTCATTATGTGACAGCTGACAGTTTAAATGCCTATCCTTTTCAAATTTTTATTTACGCAATGACGCACCCCTACTGACCAACATGGCAAAAACGCATGCGTGCAAGTCGAGGAAGTGTCTGGGAAATGTAGTTTATTTACAGGACGACCGCTGGGTTTTGGGAAGAGAATACGGTGTCACTAGAGAAATGAAGTTTGTAGAAATGCACGCACAGCAGTTTTTTATTATTCTTGTAATACTCAAATTAAATTTGTATTTAAATATAAATTAACAGTATTAAATATGTCTCTTAATTTGAATACGAACTTTACCTTTATAAAAATAGCTCTGTCCAAAAATTTCAAGGTATTCGTTAAGGCACCATGTGGAGGTGTTACGTTTTTATGGAGGTTTTTACCAATTTTGGTGAAATCTGGAAAATGTTGTCTCAATCCTGGTATATTTCAAAGTGGCCTTAATTTATCGTAGTGTAAACGACCACATTTCCCAGAATTCTATGTGATAGTCGGTGCATGCGACTTGAGCTATGTTGTAAAATTACCGGAAATAAACACGATTTTGAACTGTTATCTGAGTGCCTACCAGGTGGCAAACGAAAAATCAGACCACAGGTATTGATTAAGCTCGTAGAGCAGACCTTTAAAACGAAAGTGTGGCACTATAGCCTGGTATCAGTAGCACGTTTGAGCATGTTTCTCGTAAGGACCTTATTTGTACTTTATTGTACTGAATAACGCATATGTACCTCGATTTCTTGTTAAGCATCTGCAAAACTATACAACTACACAAATACAGGGTTGTCAAAAAACAGTGATACTGTTGTTTGTATCGTTAATCAGCAAAGTTTTAATACCTTTATTGTACTGAAGAAAAATTATATGAACTTGATATATATATGAAGACTATTGAAGACATCCTAGCCATATAAATGTGCAACATTTGATGACCTAATGGATTGAGGCAAATTAGACTTAAATTACATGTTGGGTAATTGCTCAGGTTTCTCTTCTGAATCGAATGCTTATATGTACACACCACAGTAACAAAAATTGACCAGCGAGTGAAGTCTGATTTGATCTTAGGACTCTAACTGAGGTTCCAAAACCCAAGGTTTAGTCACACATTGTAATTGACCATTCGGTTGTTTTAATGTTTATGACTTGCATTTGTGAAGCACACGCAGAATGCGTCAAAATGTATATTGTATAATTCTGATTCTGCAGGATAGGTGGACATGTCGGGATTTGAACTGGAACCATTGGACGGGAACTGTTCAATCCCGCTACCAGTTGGAGAAACCTTAATTGGAAGAGGACCTCTTCTCAGGGTACGTGTTTTTTAAACCTACCTCACTTATTTCCTTAAGCACTGCAGATATTTTACTTGTAAGAGGTACAGTCAAGCTATTTCATTTTGTTTAAAAGCAAGATATTTTAGAACATTTAGACATTTGTGACGTGTAATCAACACAATATTGACCGTCGTGTATAACAGCTGGATGCTACACTTCATCGGTGGATAAAGTTGGTCCCCTCTTATGAGCAAAGCACTTTAAGATCCTATGAGGTATATAACATATACATTTAATCGTGGGTGTCTGTAATAGCAGAAACGTTCTTCTTTACCACAAGTGGGCAGCATAGCCTCAAATGGCATACCAGTCAATATGACAATATTCTTCAGAAAGAAAAGTCACTCCAGTTTCTGACTTTTAAAAACATCTTTACAAAACGAACAATTCAAACATAAACTTAAATCCTCAGCATAGCTGCTTTAAAGTTTACTGTGATCAAAGCAAAGCGTTTTAAAGTGTAGTGAAATCACATCCAGCATGTAGGCTGTGGCAGAATAAAGTACAAGCATAGAAAGGGCAGATTTACCTTGCAAAAAGTCAGAAAATCATATACTTCCCTAACTCTCACATTGATTTAATTTGTGTTTGTTACCTGCAGCAATATATTTTGCACTAGTATATAATTAAAATTCTGTGTATACTATACAAGGGACATGCACATAACCGTTTGTATCTTGCAAATGCAAAACAAAAATTGGTGAAATTTGGCAGCTATAGGTCTGAGAAACACGGGACTAGAATAAGTGAACAGAAATTGAAATTTTACTGTTGGAAGACCACACAGTCTTCAAAGTCAGTCTAGCTGCTGGCATGAGTAACAGATTTCTTTCACAAAAAGCCTGGTTTTATTTATCACACAAACTAAAGAAAAACGTCCAAGGTAGGGGATGTTAATACCCAATGTTTGATGTGTACAAGCTATGTAGTAAACGATTACATGTGTTATCAGATAATATAAATTAAGGTAATATTGAGTAATGTTCTGTAACACCCATAAGATAGATCTCTTTTCAAATATAGTAATGCAGGAAATGAAATGTGATATAAATGTAGAAGCCTTTTTTATTTTGGCGTTTGAGCCCACTCTGCACTCCTAGATGGCACTGTAATACAAGGCTTTCTGTCAGCAAAAAGCACATCACTAAAGTTGGGAGCTTTTCTTGAATTCTTATTTTCAGATTACTTTGGAGTCTATCAGGTTTTATAAAAAATCAAGTCTATAATGGTATTATGGATGGAGGAGCAGACTGCTGCCTTTGTGAGCTAAAACCGGGCGATGTTAATTTATGAACCCTTGTCACTTAAAAAGAGTTATTACAAAGAATAATTTATTTTGTTGTGAGTCCTGAGCTTTTAGCCTTTCAAGGTGCAAATTATAGGCACTGTTTACTACAAGTTTCATTTTTGCCACACCAGTATAAATCTAGATGTACTGTAAAATGTTTGCATGCTGAGTACTTTTTTTTTTTACTGATTCTATTCCATAAAGTAGACACATGGTTTAACAGGCACGCACACACCTTCTTCTGATCTAGATTGTAAGGAGAAACATAAATTACATTTCCTCCTGTGATTTCCTAACACTAAGAGAATAATCAGTGGGGTAATTGCTTTGTCACTGGTCTGCAAATCATTGGATTTTGCCTTATATCTGTGAGCCCTGGAGATGTCTCCAGAGAAATTAGATTTTGAGATTTCTTGGTCAAGTAAACAGAAAGAAATGAATCTTTAAGGATCTTTCTGTCTTGTGTATTTGTTGTGTATTAAGAATTGTGAAAACAATAAAGCATCTTCCAAGCTTAGCAAATATGCTTTTATGCTTGCAGGGTCCAAAGTGTGTGTTGGACATTTGGAAAATGAAAAGGTTCCTTTAAGATGCAGAGAGTGACTGATTTTAAAGCAAGATGCCACAATGCCATAAAGATGTCTATGGATCTCATGCAAGATAGTTCACTAACAAAATAAAGGAAACACTTGGGTAAATGAGGGACACAAAGTATATTGAAAGCAGGTGCTTCTATGCAGGTGTGGACCCTGAATTCAATAAGCATTTAACATCCCATCATGCTTAGGGTCATGTATAAAAAGGCTGGGCAGGCCCAGTTGCCCATTGTTTAGGCTGCCGTGACTAGATGAAGAGATCTCAGTGACTTTCATAGAGGGGTGAATGTTGTGGCATGTTTAGCAGGAACTTTGGTGAGGAAGGCTGCTCATCTTGCTGATGTTTTATGAGGACATCAGTAGCTAAGGTGATACTGGCATGGAGCAGTGGAAGAAAGTCATACTGTCAGATCCTGGTCATTCTTCACTCTGTTTCCAGCAAGTGGATAAGTATATGTGTGGCACCAGTGCTTCTTTCCCACAGTGCAGGGTTCTGGCGGTTCTGTATGGCAAGGTAAATGCCACTAAATACAAAGCCGTTCTGGGTAATCACGTACATCCTGTAGTGGAGCATTTTTATCCTGATGGGAGTGAGATCCTCCCGGATGTCAGTGCTCCCATCCACAGGGCACGAGTGGTCACTGAATGGTTTGATGTACATGCCATGGCCGTCCAAGCACCAAATCGAACATTTATGAGAGAAATGTGCCTGAGACAGTGTTTTCCATCAACAAAACACCAATTGATGGAGTTTCTCGTGGAAGAATGGTGTTGCATTCCTCCACTAGAGTAGACACTTGTGGAAACTATGCCAAGGTGTGTTGAAGCTGTTCTAGTGGCTTGTGGTGACCCATTGCTCTAAGACACTTTTTGTTGGTTATATTTTATTTTAGGAGCTACCTGTATGTACTGTATCTTGTGTTATAAAACAATTATTTCTAATGGTACCTTGCCAAAAGATACCATTAGACTCACAAATAGAGCAAAAGATGTTGCTCATCAAATCTTAAAATATTTGTGCATTCATCAATATTTTTCTTTCAAAAGAAAACTTTTCACTGAAGTGTTTTATCTATGATTGCTGGTGTAGAGAGTTATTGCGGAGGAATACATCAAGGAGAGAAGGGAGTGAACAATTTCTTCTACACTGGGAAATGGAGTGTGAACAATTTTATACATATTTCAATTCAGAGAAATGAAGTTGAGGAGGTGTCTGTCGCTCTTAGGATACCTGTGCTTTTATCTCTTCTCACTGGAAGGACCAAGTAGTGTTAATGTGCTGCTCCTTAACAGGACGAATAAAGGTTCCAACTAGATGTTGAGTTCAGGTCATAATTATGTAGACTAAACCTGGACACTAAACATCCTACCGTACCTATTTAGCTAGAGTTCTAATGGGATTAGTAAAATACATTTATTACAGATGATGGATACAATTTCAGAAATAGTAGGGGGGTTGTGGGGAGGGGGTTGGAATCAAATCTCGCAGATTAACGCAAGCAGTGCACTAATGATGAAGCTGAAGAGTGCCAGCAAATTTATAGGTATTAAATGTGATTACTGGCATGTAAATGTGGTATTAGCAACTCCCATTGTTTGTAATTGCCCAGCTGCACAGCACAGGGTTGGCCATGAATTAAACATTTTTTTGTTTCTCTGGACTTCGTTGACGGTGTGTTTCCAGGGAGGGTCCATGCGTCTTGGTATGGATACAGGCAGTTCTGTACAGTGAGACCTCTGGCCTTACTGGTTCCTGAGGCTGTCCATGTCCGTACAGTAGAAATAACTTGCATGGCCTTGAAAATGGTCCTAATTAAAACCACAAAGGAATGTGTACTGCAGTGTGTTTGGATCTTTGCCTAATGTGGCATCAGCTGTTCCCTTTCTTTATGTCCCATGAAAATGTCATTTTTAAAAAAAACTGTGAGCAGCATTGATATTTCAAAATTAGGGGCTTGTAAAAACATTTTTGCCATCTTGTACAAATTGGACTATGGTTTTCCCGTAATTGCAGACTAATACAGAAATTAACGACTTTTGATTTCTCAGAAAGAGATTTAAGAGGGAATCAACAGATTGCCAGCAATCCGATCTTGGCGTAATATTCTCTGTACGTGGAAGTTGCTAATATTCAGGGTTGAAATTATGGCACACAAGTTGCTTGGGGGGAATCTTTTTATTCTGAAACGCAAAGCAAAACTATTTTAAGAAACAGCAAGCTTTCAATTGCCTCCTTCTTCCACAGATATTCCTGGTTGAACTGTGAGTCCTTCTTTAAAAGGTTTTTCTTGAAAATACAGAATTTGCAGCAGTCATACAAATTAATATATTCTCGAGGATTCAGTCTTGGCCAGTTGATTCAGATTATGAGGAGATTATGAGGAGGGAAGATCTGACACCCTTAATGAAGTATACGGGTGCTTTGCACATTAAAAGATCAATAATCTTATATTTGAAAACCTTTTCCACAAGCTGTTCCTTTGACTAATGCACGCTGAGGACAAAATCCATTTCGTAAATGTTTAGTGAGGTGATGTTTGCTTTCTGAGTTATAGCTGCTACTCCTGTGAATTTATTGCAGGCCACTGATCAATTGACTTTAGTTGTTCTTCTGTGAAACGCATACCCATAGAATACAAGCAAATTACACCTTTTCCTCTCTGGTAGAATGGAACTAATTATTTCTTAGCCTGCTATACATTCACATATGAATCCAAGCATACATTTTACACTAAGACTTTTTGCTTTGAAGTTCATTTTCAGAGTCAGCCACAGCAACAATATTTCCAATAAAAACACATTTCCAGTATTACAATAAATACTTAATGATGTGCTATTCGTGATTGTATATGTGACTGTTTGCTTCATCAGACCAGCGTGATCCCCCTGTTATTGCAAATCATGTTTTTTTTTTTAAAAAGCAAGGAAAGCAGGCTCAGTTCCAATCAAGGCATAATCAAAAGAAATACAATTAAAGGGCAGCTGTTGCAAGATTTGAGAAACGTCTGAAATCTCTAGTGTTTACTCTTAAAGTTGTGTTCAGTGAGAGTTATTCCCATTTTCTCGATAGTTCTTTGTACTGGACAGAACGATGCAGAGCACATGTCTTTCCATAATAAATCCGAACAATTTGTCACATACATCTGGATCAATGCAGCATTCGGCTCAGCAGGCATCACAACTGTTGCCATATGTTCAGCAGAAACATTTCATTACAGAGATGAGCCAAGAGACATCAGTAGTGTCAAACATCCTGCTTTCAACCTGTGGTTGACACCTTTTTCAGCACTCCTGCCTTGACAGCTGCACTCTCATTATTTACAGTACCTGTAGTCCTTTTTCATGAAACATGCTGTTAGCATTTGTATATTTAATGAAAGGCAAATATATTTTTGCCAACTGAAATATTGATTTTTACAGTTTATTTTATTTTAGGGTTGGATTTTCATGGCTTTTCATGGACGTTTTAAACACAAGTGTAAATGTTGAAGATATTACACAATAACCATATTTGATATCTATAGGATCCTGTTAAATCTGGCACAATTCTGCACAGTATCATAAAAGCTATTGTAAGGTTTTGTAAGATTCTGTGCAGGATCATGTAGGATAGAGCAATGTTCGGATACTGTCCATTTTCTGTGAAAACCTGTGGGGTCTTAGATGAATGCTTGTATGCTCTGGAAGAACAATTGTAGATTTGTGTGAAGACCATGCAGATGTCCTTATGATTGTTATTCTAACACACCTTTATCCAAAACAACTTACAATGTTTACAGTTTACTATATATACAGGGGAGTTTTTTTCAGAATCCATGTCCCTACCTGGGATTTTTAATCCAGTCAGAAATCCAGGGCTGGTATCATAAAAGATCTTACCTTATGTCCATCTGAATGCTTTTTATTTATAGTGGTATTGATAGACATTTCTAATTGCGCTGCTTAAGTTAGTGGAGAACTCGGAAGCTCACTTAGTCTGTTTCAGAACAATGATTGTAATGTAATTTGAGGTGTTGCTAGGATACCAGACAAACTGGTGCTGCCACCACCAACTCTGATTTTATTATCTTTAAAAGTGAAGCCTGGAAAAGCACAGTTTTTCAAAAGAAAATATAAATATCATGGATTCCTGCACAGTTGTTTTTCTAAATTTCCATTCTTTACAAAAAGAATAAAGGAAAATGGTTTGCTACAAGTAGTACTTGTGTTTTTGTTCAAAATGGCCATATTGTAAGCATAAAAGTAGAAGTGGTTATTTTTTGGGTTTCCTTGCACCTCAGTTTGAAATGTGTAACTGGTGACAAGACCACAAGTTTTTTCATTCTCATATGCTTACAAAATAATTCACCCTGAACTAAAACCAAAGCAGAGGAACGTAATATTTTGTTCAGGATTTGATTAGAAGCAAATACTCATGGTTGTTTCCAGCAGTGCTAGTCCCGAAGGGCTGTTTTTTATAAATATTTTCCCCTAAAATTTCTGAATCTGTAGCATGTATTTAGTGATGCATGAGCAGTCACACAAATGATATCAGACCAGCATGAGTTTAGTTTTCAATGACAAGAAAGCAAAATATTCTAATCATGCTGTGCTGTTTTTATATCTATATGCAGTATAGGCAGAGAACCCCTTTACTGAAGTACATGTTGTTTATATGCTCGAGATTCAGTGTCAGTCATACTGTATGTTGTGATCATGTCTGATGAGAACTTTGCAAAAAAACAAATAATTTAGCCATAAAATGCAACCCGATGTGCTTATATTGCTTGTATACCAATCTTCGTCACCCATGATATGGGTGTCCGCTGGGGAAATAAATGTTGTTTAATGTGACTGTGATTTTTAGGTTTCTTAGCTGCTTTTGTTAATTATTTTTAGCCAGATTGTGAAGGATCTTAATCTTGTTTCTTTGTTCATAAGCCTTACATATCCATTGCAATAGTGGTCCTGAAAGTTCCTAAAACACGCAGATTCCTGATCGATATTCAAAGCATCAATATGGAGGTTCATCATGACTAGAAGGAAGCTATGTTGGTCTTTTTGAAGATGGATTTTGTACATCTTGCACTCCCATATAATGTGCTTCTATTCATCTTCAGGTTGTTCATCTTATATACAGTAGTAAGTAATGGGCAAGTGTTTTTTTTTTGTCATGCAGGTTAAGTACTGCTAGAGCTGTCAAATTAATGGTGTTGTTCAGGGAGCTCTTTGAGATTTCTACTGCATTTCCTGAAGGAAATAGGAGAAGGAGCTGCCAGAGTAATGATAGGAAAAGGGCAATTAATAATAGTCGAGAAGTAGTGAATTTATTGGAGGGTAAGTGTGATACTGAGCAAACTGGATTAAGGTAAATAATAGTCAGGAGCAAAAGATGTTCTAAGAGATTTAAAGATTAGGACTTGACCAGGTGTTATGAACAAAAGTCCCATGAACAAATCAGGATGGAAAAGTTTTCTCTGGATGACAGCAGAAGAGAAATTACATATACAGCGGTCATCTATGCATTTTTAGAAACTGTGGCCAGATTATGGGTTGTCATCAGGAAAAATTAGTAACATAAAAGGTGAGAGTTGTCCACAGGTTCATGCGATTGATGTGTTCGGTCAGACTGTAATGAGAGAGTTTGTTGATTAGTTAGAAATGCAACCATATGGAGGGACTAGATGAAAGTAGTATAAAAAAGAGTGTGGTGAGAACATTGCTATAGCTTTCCATTGCACAACAGATGTGAACAGCAATGCCTTCTGTCTTGGTGTGGTTAATGCAGCATTGTACAGTAGGTGACGGTGATCTGCATAATTTGATCAGGACCGTAAGGGCTTATGCTTTGAAGACATTCCATTCATGTGGCTCACAAATAAGATGGAGTCTTTAGAGAGTGTGATAAAAGCACATGTGTATCTATGTTAAAGGAAGGTCATAGTGACTCCAAACAGAATTGTGGAAATCTTATTCTGATCTTTTAATATGTTGCATTTTTCTTCCAAGTGCTGAGGCAACTGGGCTTTTGCAGAGTGGATATGTCTTGCTTTTGGGACATCTGCCCAAACAAGGAGCGAGTTAGACAGACCTGCTTCTGTCAAATTAATAGGAACAAGATTTTGTTTCACCAAAACCCTTATTATTAGTACTCACACTTATATTATTTCTCTCATCACACAAATAAAATGGCATTGGAAATCAACAAAGATGGTTTCACTGATGGATGAGAAACATATTCAGGCCAGCACCACAGTGCTTGTGTCTCTACTGTATTATTCTAGAAAAAAAAAAACAGGACCCAAAAGCTGTTCTGATGACTGTGCATGCTGAGTCTGGTTACAGTAGGGTTTTATCTCTTATTGATTTCTATGATTTGTGCTTCATGGAAATGTATTATATTGAAAATACAAGTAGGTAGCTGCGTCAGCATGCGTAGCCTACAAAGGAACAAGTAAAAGTTTATTCAGTGCTGAAAAGAGAAGAAAGGAAACACAACCATTTCGGCTGTGGTGCCTTCTGGTGTGGAATATTGAAAATACTGCTTAGAAGTTTGCAAAGACAATTTGTATAGTCTTATGCTTCAGACAACAGGATCTTTGAAGTCTACCTATCAGGGTTTTAGATTAGATGTTATGAATATAAATGACCTCTTATTTTTGTCACTGAGAAAACTGAAAGCAGCTCATATCAGCTACAGCTTTGTCATGTGCAAACAATATTTTTTATAATTTCATTTTGTGGTTCTGATGGCTATTACCTAAAATTGTTGAAAATGATTAAGCACATATTACAATATTATATTTGTAGTAATCAAGAAGTTTGCAAACATTGAACAAGAGTAATAGACTCAGTAATTACCGTGATATTATGTCTTCTTAATTGAAAAGAATATTGAGCTCTTCCAATATCGAACTTTCTCATGAAGGTTTATTGCAGCAGTTTGTCTAAACATTTGTTTTTTGAGTCTTGAACCTCATTGGATTTAATAGTGTTACTTTACCAGTCCTTGTAATTTATAACAATCATTACTGATTGCATCCGTTCTTTTTTTGTGCTTTGTGCATCGTTTTGATCTTGCTGGGTGGAATTTGTCAATTGTTACTAACAGCATGAATCTGACTCAGACCTTCTGTTCTGTTCTTTCAGGTCAGTGATAAAAGAGTATCGAGAAATCATGGACTGCTAGAAGTTGTGGATGGCCAGCTCAGGATCAAACCAGTATGATTTTTCTTCTTTAATTCCCAGGACAATTGTTTTTTTTTAATGAGGGTTTTGTTTTGCTTTGCTATAAAACAAACCCGGTCCCTTGTAGATATTTTTTCCCCTCCAGTTTATTGTCCCTTCGGTGTTTTTGCCCAGTGTTTCCATAGTTATGTGTTCACTGTGGTAAATTAAAAATGTGCTTACAAGTTTACATTCCATTTAGTCTTCAGTTTTACACCTGACCTTGATGAAGCACATAAATTAATTTGCCAAACCAAAAAACGGATTTTCTTGGGAAGCGCGTATGACAATTAATATATTAACTGTGGTGGTATATTAAAGGGCTTTTATAGCCTTTCTAGTTTATATTAGCTTATCATTAAATTTACATTTTATATTAATAAAACACTTAAACAGCAGTCCAAAAAGGGACTGTTATTTTGAATATTTGTACTGTGGTGATTATTTACTTTTTCATTGATGTAAATTTTCAATGAACTAGATCTCTTAGGTACTTATCTAAATTAAAAACCCATTAGTCACTTGCGAGAAACCATAGTACATTCATGTTTTCTAATTATTCATTCATTAGTCAAATCATTGTATCTAAAAAGGTTATTTTTGATTCTGTACTTATTTACTTGTCAATGTTGTATTGTTAATACAATTTGGATTAAAAACCCTGTTTTATTTTAAATTCAAAACTGTAAACATCAAACTTTCAATCAGATATGCTTTTTTAACAGATCATTATCACTAATACTGTACATCAAGCAAATTATTACTTAGTGAATGAAACCAGTAGCTATAGGAAGGCAAGCATGGTATGCTAATATCATTGGATTATTCTTGCTGTGATCTATGAATGGCTTCTCATTAAACCTTTGTTTACTAGATTCCACATAGAATTTCCCTGCAGGCTTTTTTTAAATGTACTGTATTGATATAGTATCGGTTTGTACAAACACAATTTAGATTGAAGGCAGAATTACAACCTCTAATAAATTATTATAATTGAAGTTAATTAGAAAAGCTTCCAACAGATTGAAATACAAAGGTTTAGGTATAATTAACACCATAAACAGAGTAATAGAAAGTAGTATTCTTAACTTCATGGAATATGTCTCATCATTTAATAAGTCCCACTAAGGTGTGTTTGATAGTCCTCAACCTATCGTGTTTTAAACTAGCTCAGTATAGTTAGTAATTTGACAGAGTTTATTATTCAGCTTGCAGAGGAATTGAGGTGTAGCAGCAGACTTTGTACCAGCAATTACTGTTGAAACAGTTGCTTATAATAGGATTTCAGGTTTATGACTCATCTAAGAGCTCAGGAAACTCACATTGAGTCAGTGTCCAGGTGAGGCTTGAGCCTGCAAACTTAGTCTTAACCACAGGATGTCATTATACTGGATGTTTTCACCTAGAATCTATCTCTGCATTAAAACCTTCCTGAGATACAGTCCTATACAGTTAGGACAGATATATTTATCTAATGTTCCTACACTGGTGGGGAGTTTTAACATTTATGGAAGCAAAACATAGTGATCAAATGGTGGTATAAAAGGAGACTTTTGATTTTTTTTTAATGCTCTTCATTTTTTTACTTGCTAGTCATAGACAAAGAAATTTAGGAAACTGAAAATCGAAAAACTGGTTACCTAATATTTTGCATGGTGAACAGTTTGAGCTAGAGTGTAAATCTTAATATCAAAAGTGATAACCATCCATCTCCAATAAATGAAATGATGCAGTTGATATTAAGGCAATAAAGGAAACATTGCTTGAGAACAGTGTTATAGAAGGATGTCCCCATCTGAAAGTGAAGTTGAAATGTAATTTGTGTGTCTGAAAATCATGTTGAGAGATCATTAATGTCTCCTACTGAAAGTCTGGTAGAGTGAGTTATAAGGTTATTTTTGGCATTTGAAAAACATTCCAGGATCCTTTCTAAGTGTATTCTATTATCACATTTTCTTTGCAAACATAAATACAACTGTCTTGGAAACCTAATGTTCTTTAACATATTTACCATTGAAAAGAGAAAGACTCTTTGTTTCATATGACATAGAACGTATCACCTGTTAGCAGTGCAGGAAATGTAATTCGCACAAGATGGCTGAACAAATTTACTAATGACACTGAAGTGTTCTTTTTTTAAAAAATTGAAAGAAATTCAATTTCATTTCAGACATTGGTTCCTGTGAATTTGTAGGGTCAGTAAGTAGGGTCAGATATTGTAATTAGATCCATAATTACAGACTAACCTCTAATACTCTAAGGAATAACCAGCATATTTCAGATTCATTTCCTCCTGATTTAAATAGCCAAAATAAATCATTTGAAATACATTTGTTGACCTTTTTCTTTCATAAGGGTTAAGATCACTGGGCCGCAGATATAGTCAGTCCTCGGCTAATTAATGCAGCTTCTAATCAAAAAGCACAGCTCCATTGTTAGTGACAAAAGCAGGCATAACCTTAGGTTTCATTTATTCTTTAGCACCATATCCTATGATAAAAAAAGAGAAACAAGGGAAAAATCTTTGAACTCATCTGAGGAAGTGGACTATGGCCTTGCTGAAATGTTTCAAAGTTTTTTATGTTTGAGAAAATGTAAATATTATTTTTTGTGTATGTAAGAAGAGGTAATATATGAAGTTAACATTGACAAGCTGTTCAGGAAAAGTAGAACCACTATCCTTTTGTACTGTAGGGTGCATCTGTGGAGCCAGGGCATCTGGACTGAGAGATATAAAGTCTTAGATATAATCATTACATCACTTTCGGGTTTTTAAAAAGGCAACATTTGTCTGTTAAGTTGTCCTTATGCCTGAGAAAATCAATGTCCTTTCCAGCTGAAATTCTAAAGACAAGAAATCAGCAAACCTCTTTACAAAAAAAGGAAAGAATTGTAACCTCTATAGAGTTGCTGACAATTCCTGCAGTGTAGTCTTCTTTCTTAGTGTGAGATTTAAGTGTCTGTCCACTTTTATCTGTAAATTACCCTCCCTTCTGTGCAGTAAGGCTGAAGCATGTCATTTGGGCTTTTTCCATTGCATTTTCACTTATGACTTCACGTCTTTTAGTGAGTGTTTTAGTGCTTTTCTTTTCTCTTTGATGAGGTTGGTTGTTCAGAGAGTGTAGTCAATTATAGATTTAAGAATACATTATCATGTTTGTTCTGCCTCCGACACTACATTGAAATCTGTTTACAATAAACAAGTATTTCATTGCATACCCTAAGTTATCCTATTAGCTTATTAACAAGGAGTATTATTTTTAATTTTTTAAAATGTATTTAAATTTACATTGTTTCATTGTTTCATTTCAAGTTTCATTGCTGTTGATCAAGTTGATTTATGATGTAAAAAAGTAATTTGTTGACAGTGGGTGTCTACAAGGTGAATTCATGTTTCATTTTATAATTGGATCTGTGTGTATCCATTTGAACATCGAGTAAAGTGGTTTTAGCAAGACTTCACAGTAGTTGCTATAATCAATATCAATTTGTGGTGCCGAATTAGAAGTTTTGAAGCTAAGGCTTTCCATGAAATATGGCTATAATGTGATTGCTACTTAAAAATGTTCAAAAAAAATGTTTTGGAATCATTTTTACTCTCATTAATTATCTGAAGCAAGATGTAAATGTTTTTTAGAATATTGCCTGGAAACACTGTCTTGAACATGTTACCTCTCAAGACAGGAGACCTTACAGTCTGAATAAAATCCATCCATCCGCTTTCTAACCACGTTATCCAATACAGGGTCACAGGGGGGTCAGAGCATATCCCAGTAAGCAGTGGGTTCTAGGAAGGCCAGTTCATCACAGGGCAAAACACACATACATGCACACACTCACAGCAGGGCCAATTTCCCCAATTAACCTACCAGTATGTCTCTGGACAATTGGAGTAAACTACAGCTCTAAATAAAATGTAATTGAAAGTTCAAATAACTTAATTCCACCTAAAAATAGATTGCTTACTCTCCAACAATATTTTTCTTTTGCACTCCAGTGCCCTATTTGGCTTTTTTTATTAACATTTTCTGGTTATAGAGTTTATAAACTGAAAAAAAAAAACTGTATACACTTTTCTACTCATTGTGGATTTTGGTTTCCATAAGATCACTGGAAAATGTTTTTTTATCAGTCATGCTCCAGTCCTTATGAAAAAATCCACTAAAATAATGCTGTTTGTGCTGTTTGATCAGTTTAAGACAGACACCGGTAAGCAGCAGCTTAGAAAAGTGTTTGCTTATAGGATTGCTGATTGTGTTTATTGCACCTGTTTGCTGGAAGGCTTTTCCTTGAATTGGACAAACATTAAGCATACGCTTTTGTGGTCCACTGTATTATTTTACTATATCTTGATCGACTAAATTCGGATAAATTTATCTTTTTTTTCCCTTCCTTACAGACTCACTTAAATCCCTGTTTCTATCAGTCCTCCCTTGATGACCTCCCCCACCCCCTGGAGAAAGATAAATGGCACCCTCTCTTCCCTGGAGACCTTTTTTCTCTTCTCCCAGGAAAATACATTTACAGGGTCGTCTCCACCAACTGTGACAGCACTCAGAGGTATCTCCAAAAACGATGCGCTGCAGAGATTAGGCTTCTGTAAAGCATTCCGCTTGCACTCAAAGTGCAGCAAGGATTCAAACAGACCTGCCTATACAAACACTCTTACCCGAAGGTTGTTAGTGTTGTGTTGTTAGTGTATAGATGTTCTCCTTTTTGATTTACCTCCCCCCCCGAATTTCTTTTTTTGAAATAATGCAACGGTTAATGTTTTTTCAGAGCTGATTTTATTACCTTCTGTAACAATCCATCAGTAATTCCTGCTTTTAATTTGAATTTGGAGGACATCTAAAAAACACGTCACATACCTTTGAGCTAGGGAGAAAAACATGTATGAAACTGCAAATGGAACCATGCAATATAACATTTTCTTGTTTCAATTCATAATTGCCAGTTCCAGCTTTTATTTCATTTCGTACCTAATTTGGAATTGCCAGCTATATGTTTTTGGCTTTTTGTCTCCCTGGCTAAGACATATCAGAGAACCAAGAAGTGTGGCCAACCGTTGAGGCACTCATCTTTTAACACATCACAGGCTTCGCAACCCATCCCATACAGGAGGTTTGATCTGTTAGATCTGTTCCTCACTGTCTGCACTGCTAGCCTGCAAGTGCCCGGAGGTGGCTGTGGTCTCTGTATCATCAGGATTTAAGACACCCTGGTTCATTAATCCCACCCGACCCTCATCCTGGTCTCAGTCGTCTAGTGACATGACCCAAGATCGAACCCGCAGCACCCAGATCGGAGACCTCAGCCAACACTTTTACCAGCTGAGCCGCAGAGGACCCCCACAACCTTAACATTTTAGATTTTAGTGACAATTTATTAGCTTTCTTTACCTCAGAATTGAACACGGGCAGATAGCTAAAACAGGGTCACGTCAAAATTATACCCCAATTGTAAGTTAAAAGCCCAGAACTTCATTGTTGATTTTCCTGGATAGACATTAAAGCTTCCGTGAATAATCAGGTTTTTAATTTACGGTAGGAGAGTGGGTTTTTATTTAATGCAGACCTTATGCGGCTAGTAAATGATTTAGCAAAACAGCGTTTAGTTAAAAGCCACCTTCTTAATCTTTTCTTACATGAAAAATTGAAAATGATCAATGCTAAATGTATATCATACTAAATACATATCATATACTAAATGTATATCATATTGGAAATGAAAAATACAAGGCTGGATGCTTCTAAAGTACAAATGATTTTATTTATTTAAAAAAACAATATGGAAGAGAGGGTGCTTTTGAAATGTGTACTATTGACTCGGTCCTCTGCATCTTTGATGTGCTTTGATGTTTGAAGTACAAGATTAAAAAACACAAAACAAAGCATTGAAGCCACTCGGGGTATCCAGCAGTGGCTGATTGCTGTAGTAAAAGACATTTTGTGAACAAAAAAAAAAGTTAGACATGATTATTCATCATGCGGTTCTTGGTAACGGAAGAATCAAAGGTTGGAGGAGATTTAATTATGATAAACTTTCTGTTGACCTTTCCTTCTCCACTTCAATCACAACAAAACGTTGACTTAGTATTGAAAGCATATACACTGTGAAATATGACATATTCTGATGTGGGCATTTCTTACTTGCGGACAAGCAAAGGAAATTGGTAGAATATTCAGTACCTTTCAAATGGCATTTAACTTAATGGTAAAGTATATTGGCACACAGCTTTGTGTTCTAAGTAAACTCTCTTGCATTGCTGCATTAAGGTAACAAAAAACTGTATTCAATGGGCTTCCTAAGCATGCAAAAAAAGCCACTTTAAATTAAAAGGCATGACGTTTTGTTTAGTTTAAGTTAAATTAAAAAGCAGGTGTTTTTATGTTTGTTTGTTTTTCCCCTAGGAACAGCCAGGCCTTGGCTGATGATGATGATGATGATGATGATGTATCCGTTACTGAAACATCCCTTCTATCACCAAGAGTGGGTGAAAAGCCAGGGGCTCAGGGTAGAAGGAATGATTTGAGGGACAAGACTCTGGGGCTAACCCAGGAATATCCAGAAACTTCAGGAAGCTCCATAGAGAAGGAATGCAAAGCCAAGACTGATGTGCCTCCTTCGAAAAACATTGTGAGTAAAACCATTTCTGGACCTTCACTGATACTTGTGGGAGAGTTTGGGGAGAGTGTCTAGACCATGTCAATAGTCTGCAAACGTATAGACGAAACGGGCTGCACAGCTCAACAGTATACATCATCATGCTTCGGAAAATCAGACAGTGTCTTGTGAAAAAAGTAAATGTGGGGTGCGGTATTGCAAATTTAAATCCTGTTCAATTGATTTCCTTCGAAGTTCTGACTGCGACCTGCAGCTGGTTGCCGTGGGTGTAAGTTGGTGTGTTTTGTCAGGGTGGTTCAGCGGAAGGTGGCAGGACTGAAGAGGGGAAAAGCATGCAGAGGAAGAGAGTGCTGCCAGCGTGGATGTTGCAGGGTGCTGCAGGAGCACAGCGCACCCTGAAGTCTACAGGTAGAGTAGCGAGCTTTCCTTGTTTTTCTGCCTCCTCACTCTTTGATCAGGCTTTTGTGTGGTGTCATGATAAATTAAGGGGGAACTGCAATGCTATGTTTATATTTTGGGGTTAGAAAAAATCAGCATTGGTGAGAGCATTTCAACCCATAATAAAGGAACAAGGTACGGTACCTCATAAAACCTCTAAATGACATCACAGAATAGACTAATTTTCAGGGTAGGCATAGCAACAAGACTTTCGGTGATGTGAAGTGGCCTTATTTCATCGTAAACAAGCAGGTTTGTGAATACACCTCTTTTAATCCAATAGGGTCTTCAAGGTGGTTTTGCCGACAAATACTACTTACTTGTTAACTCTGCATGTGGATCATGTTGGAACATTTCGGCGGTGAAGTGTCTGCTGCACAACCTGTACTTATTCGCTCGTACAGCAGATGACGTTAGTCATTCTGGTGATTTGTGAGTGGGAAAGGCCACTTCACAGCGCAATTCTCGCAAACTCTCGCTCTGACCCGTGGGGAGACCAGGGATTCGCAACCATACAGTACTTTCACAAAGTTCACCGTTTTGTGCTTAATTCAAAATTTATAATATTTTTCCATACGGTCATTTAATTTTTTTTGTTCACGGCCGTTCCCCTTTAAGCAACCGATCTCTGTGCTTCATTTTGTTGCATTATAGTTTAGAGTCGTTGGCCAGGACTCCAACAGGTGCAACACACTTAGAATGTCTTGATTATTGTGAAAAGCTTACATAAGAATAAGTGGTTGCAATTTTTCCCCATCTAAATTACGGACAAGAGAACTCCCTAACAGTGTTTAACTGTACCTTTAACTGTACAGTCTATAAAAGGTACAATCATAACACTTTCAAAATCGTCAGATTGCTAGAGCAAAGCTTATTTTGATTTTTTTTTTTACATAGCAGGAGTGTTACAGGAAATCAAATGCTCTCTAAAAGGTTTTTTTGAAGAGCAGGTGGATTCTGTGGATTTTATTGGTGTGTTTTGTAAAATTAAAAAACAACAATTTATGTCCTCCTTTAAATGTTTTTTTTCATTAAGAATAAACATCACATTGGGTTAGAAACCATCCAATAAAACATTCCTGGTGCCCTTTGGTAATCTGTGAAAGTGTCATCTTTAAATGTTTTGGTTCTTATGAGTGTTTATCTCAAAACATACAAACAATTATAAAAAAAATTGAAACATCTGCTCCACTGTAAAAGAAAAGGCTAGTATGAAAGATCCTAGAATAATTTCAGTTTGATTAATGGCTTTCTAACTCCCTTGATGTAGTACTATAGAATTTCAAATTGATTGCATAGCCTTCAAACACTTTCTTTTCCATTAGAACTGTGCCACTAAAACGCACAACAGATGGTAAATAAGAATGAGTGGGAGAGATTGAAATTCAAGTATAACCATGCAATTTGAGTTTTAGGAAAGTAAGGATTAAGTAGGAGTGAATCCAAAGCAGAAGAATTTGTTTTAAAGATCCTTCTTTTTTGCAGACCTCTGTCGACGCCTGAGTCAAGGATGATTTAGCATATGTTATCTAGTCTAACCTCACCTGGCTGTGAACCGTGCACGCTGGCCCACTTTATATCACCATTGGGCCATTTAGTGTGATGTCTACACTTACTACACTACACTACACTTGTCTGCACTTGTTCATATTTTCTTACTTTTTTGATGTGTAGGTTAACTAATGTCCTGTGGACATAATTAAAAACTGGCTTTGAATTTTACCATGGATAGACTCACTTTGTCCACTGCTGAAGTGCAGCATTTACCTGGTGCCAGCTGCCCCCCTACACAGCAGATCAGTGTGTAGAAGAATTATAAGAAATTGGATGAAAATTATCTGGGAGGCACGATTTTGCAAACTCCGAATTTAGCGAAAACACCCATGCTCTTAAAAAAAGCAATGCTGTGAGATCTGTAATGACCAATCAATAAGGACCTTTATTTAAAATCTTATCTGAAAGTTGTTTGAATAAAACTATTTTTACAGAAGTTAGTTTATACCATGAAACTGTAATTTCTTTGTCTTCATTGCACAAGTAAATGGGGATTTGGGGGCTACAAGAGTTCTGCGGCCAAAAGAAACTTGTTTCTCAGTCCAATGTAAAGATCTCATTTCACCAACTGAGTACTGGCAGTGTTTCTTTGTTGGATGTTTCTGCAGTTATGATGGAAACAGTCCGCACAGACAGTGTGAACTGTTCCCAAGTTTTGGCGAGTGTCATGTTTCACTTGTTGTGTTGTTCAGTGTAGTGCTCAGTCAGCTGCCACTTTTTTCAGTCATATTTCAATCTTGATTTCTTCTCGCCTAGTGCAGGATAAGTATTTCTTCATCAATCATAAAAATTCTGCTGCCAAGCAAGCATTTGGCAGTTTGTTATTTGACATCTAAATATCTATGATTATAGCAGTGTCAACAGTGAAAAGTCCCATAAGCAATAAACCTGAAAAACTGCAGCCTTGGATTAAAAAAAAACATTTTAATTCAACTTTTCAATGTGCATTGTGTTAATGGTGGAAACCTAATGGTAAGAAAACTATATTTAAATGCACCTTAAATATTGTAGCACTTAAATAACTGTCTTGTTAGAATGCCTATTAGGATGCTCTTTGAAAGAGGGTGAATGCTTTATTATTATTATTATTATTATTATGAGAATGATGCAGTTGATCCATGAGATTTAGACAACAGAAGCAGATGCTCTTTGAAAGAGGGTGAATGCTTTATTATTATTATTATAATTATTATTATGAGAATGATGCAGTTGATCCATGAGATTTAGACAACAGAAGCGTTTGATGCAGACTTTTAGAAAATCATGTTGATCATTTATCATAACAGTAGTTGTACTGATCCCAAGACAATAATCCTTTATTGAGCAAGAATAATAACGCAGTGTTTTTTTTTTCTATACAGAATTCACAAACTTTCAAGAATAGCCTCTTTTTCTTTTGTCCCCGCTTTAAAGTAAACACATAGTGCAAAATGTAAAAAGAACAAAGCATGTTTGTGTGGGTTTGTGCCTTGGTTCCCCCTCACAGTCCAAAGACATACTAGTAGGTTAACTGGCTTCGGGGAAAACTGGCGGTTAGAACAGGGACCTACTGAAGCACAGCAAAAACACGATGGTCTGCGTTTTACTTCAAAATCTCATTAGCCACATCATCATAGTGCAATTTGCATTGTAAATACTGAGACGATGTGGTAGTTGATTGAATCAATTTTTTTTCTTAGGATAACAAGATTAAGCACCTCGCATTGTTATGCAAGTGCAGAACTTGAGCCAGTTTTGTTTGATTTTTCGAAGACTTAACATTGCTGAAATGAGCTGATTAAAACTCTGTATAAATAACTAATCAGAAATTTCAGAGATTTAAGTAAACACAAGAACACAAGAAAGATACCACCATGTCCTGCTGGAGTAATGAAGACAGCTGTCTATGTGATTAACGTGATACTGTATCACTGCTTCAGCAATCAGCAAACGTATCCCATGAAATCGGAAACTCTAAGACAATGTTCTGAAATCAGAGGGACATTACACAGGTCCAGGACTATTATACCATTATTAAATATCTGACAGAAACTTGAAACACATTTACAAAGAGTTGTACAGGTCTCTAACTGACATCCGAGACAGTTACGTGACCAAACTCTGGTCTGCTTTATAAAGTGATTGGCTAAAACTTAAATCCACAATGCTGCTAAACTAAAGATAGGCTAAATGCAGAAAAAGGACAACAATGTTTTTAATGATCAGACTTCAGGATTAGTGCTGCCTGGATTGTGTTAATGTTGAGGGAGAACATACTCGATACTATGTTTTTAAGGTTTTTCATTTTGCCCGTGTCTCACATTTTTTATAAAAACTCATAACAGTTCTTTGTCCATATTTTGTGGGATTTGATTTGAGAGCTACTGTATGGTTAATGTATTTAATTCAATATTTTGCATCTGAGTGATGCAATAATTCTGTGCACCAGTATAAACCATTTTATTATAATCTTGAATGTTGTATTTTAGCGCTTTAAATTAAAACATGGCACGTGATTAGTCTGTTTTAAATTTCCATTTTATTTATTTTCTACATATTCGTATGCAGGATCATTTGGCATGGGTTTGTTAAAGATGAACACTGACAGAAATGTACTATTACTCTGCAGTCAATGCTGTACTGTAGTCGCTGTTTGACTGAACAAGCAGTTCTGACTGCCATTTGTAACTAGAACAAAACCTGCTACATAGTGGTTAATCTTTGTTTTCCTGATTAGACTCATTTGTTGGAGTTACGTGGTTTGGAAGCTTGTATCATCTGCCCAAGCTTTGACTGATCAGAAATAATGAACTAATAACATCCAGCCCTGGGGATGTGTCTGTACTGTTCCTGCCTGTGCGTGACCTAAACCCCTATCCCATCCAGAAGGATGTTAATAGAATACATGTGGTAAAATTTCCCCAGGTGGAAATGTAATTATGAAATGTGTTTGAAGCATATGAGTTAATAATTCCTTTGTTAGAGGAATATTTCATTTAAAGATCGGTGGAGAAGAACAATACAAAATGACTGTCCAGCATTGGTGCAAGTGTGATTAATTTATTGTAATAGGTTTTGATGTTACCACAACAAAGGGAGAATCCATGTGCAAACAGAGGTCAGTCATTCTGTGGCATTTTACGATTGAGTTCTTAATAAGATAATATATCTTTTGTGAGGAATTAAGGTGGCAAAGGAGGCGCAAATCTTTTAACCTCTATCTATGTTTAATTGGACAATTTAGCGATGGCTTGTTCATTCATTTAAACCATGTTCTATTACATCTCTGCTATATGACCTTTATTTGCCATTGATTTTTGCACCTGTTTAGGTTAATTTGAACATAAACTGAATTAAAATAACATTTTACATGTGATCTTTTAGTAATTGATTTTGTAGGTTAAAGCTCAGGAATAAAACTGCTTCTATACATCTGTAAGATACCGTGCAGTAATTCAAATATACAGCACATAGCATACTGTATACAGGGACAGAACAGAGTCAATGTACAGTATGCATGGTTTTTATATTTCACATCAGTATCCATCACACTGCCCTTTTCCATTTATCCAGTATGGACTCACAACATGTTCTTTGTTTGGCCTTCTTTGTGTTCTCTTTTTTTGCATGTCAATGTTTGTTGCATTAGTTGACTGTATCCTAGTTTTCCTGAAATAATATTCCTGAAATTCAGTCTTACTGAGTCCTAAATCTGAGGGCTTTTACAAGGTGTTGAATTTTAACCATGAGAATGCCTAATAATCTATCAAGATCTGAGATGTTTTATTTTAGATGTTTATATTTAGAATGGACTGATGTTTTGAATCAATTAATAGATTCATTTCTTTCCAGAATGGATTCCCATTAGCTTGACTTCTTGTAGACATCTAAGAAAAATTTAAACAGTTAAACGTTATTTTAGTAGAAATATTCTTAGTAATACTCTATTCAATGGAAGAGGAGACTAATTGAGATCTCATAGTTTTAATGTTATGATTCCTTTTGGACAATTACTTTCCAGGATCTAAAATTTTCACTTTGTATTCTTCTGTTACAAATTCCATCTTTGATTCTCACACTCCATATTTAAACTAAATTGTTCTGTTGTGCTTTGTAAATTGGATCTTTAACTTCATATTTCCAATTTCGTGTGGAAGGATTTTAGCTGATTTAAATTATATCAGATCTATTTAAGTCTGCCACAGAAATTGTGTTGTCCTATTGTCTATGGAGTAATTTCTTCTGTATTCTGAATGGATTGCATGATAGTTTACGCTAGCCTCAATAACAGCTTGTTTGGGGTGGAATACAATGTCATGAATCTAAAATGTAATAATCATGTTTATACTACTGTTTGGGTTTGTTATCCCCCAAAAACTGCAATATGGTGATTTCATTGTTCTTTTTTGTTAAACCTTGTGTTAATGGAGGTCTTAATAGATTAATGAAACAGGGTACTCCTTTGAAGGGACTGTCACTGAGGTGAAAGTTGTGCTCAGCTGCTTTTCACAATTGAAGGCAGCAATATTCTTTCTTACCTTTAATACAGTACAAAACTGCATTGTGATTGATTAGCCATTTAGGCTGTTTGTAAAGCACATTAGCAAAATGCGTGGTTGGCACAATCCTTGTGTACTTGCTTGGTGACTAAACCATTCATTAACACAGCAAGCCAGAGACAAGATGAATGCCTTGCCAAAAATAAAAGCTCTGTTAATGAATGTACAGAATAGGGTGCAAGATATTGATAATGAGTATGCTATATTTGTAGCTTCCCATCCTTGAAAGAACACTTCTTACCTACAGCTGACGTTCTGTAGTATGACTAATAGTTTCAGGCTTTGCACAAACATCCTTAGATGTTTGTGTTTCCTTCGAGCTGCTCTTAGTGAAAGAATCAGAAGCTTTCTATGGTTATCTGTTTAATACTTGTTGGCTTTTGAAAAACTTCACTAGAGGAAACACTCAAGGGGAGCTTTTATCAGTTTGACGTTAGTATTACAATTGACTCACACAGGATTTAATATTTAACTTCTTAGGATAAAAAAAATATTATATATTTTTTTCTGATTACTGTCTGGATAGCTAACACTTTTGTTTTGTCAAGGCCACTGTGAACTGAAAAGTAAAAAAAGGTGTTAGGTTTGGTGGGCAGTGTAGGACACAAGGATGGATAACGTGGTTTTATTTAAAAGGGCAACAGAGTGTAAACAGCTAGCAGGACTGATTTAGTTTTCTCTGTCAGATTTTGGAGACCTTTTTGCATTTGCTTTCCAACTAGGAATTAACATTTCTACCAGTTCATTTGACAGTAATCTTCAGTAGAAATCTCCTGCTTTAGTCACTTGAAATGCACATTCCATCGTCCTACATTATGGTTAAGAAAGGATCAAGTTTTTTAGTGAAGGTGGGAAGTCACAAAGTGTGACATTTAAAAAGCTTGAATTTCAATATTTTTGATGTTCTTGTGTTTCAAATAGGGCACAAAACACACCTTGTTAAAACAAAATGAATTGTGAAATCCTTCTAAACTATAATTATCTTGTAATTCATTGACATGTTTCATAATGGACTTTTCTAAATAAATTATGAAGGTTTTTTATCTTAAGTCTTTAGATTTTGTTGCCAGGGCAACAAGAAATATTTACTTGCACATTTGAAAAATAACAGATGTCTTAATTACATTAAAAGACATGATTGGTGGGGTTGTGTAGTATAATGTTTCGTAAAACTGAACTTTATAAGCCACAAACAAGATTAATGCCTCTTTCTGAGTCATATAACCACTTCATCTGCATTATCAGAATTTATGTTCCTTCTTTGGGCAAAAGTGAACCTCATTCTTCCACTTGCATTTTGACTAAATTGCATTGCTGCCCAACATCTCTTGACCTCTTCAATTCCTACACTCTGAGGCCTGTCTCAACTACCTTTCAAAGAACAGCCCTTCTTTGTCCTCCTTTTCACTCCTTTTTCAAATACTGATTTTTTTCTGAGGTGATGCTGCATGTTTCAATGTTGAAATGGAAAACGGTGAATCTCCTTGGTCAGTCCAACCTTTAATGTGCCCTGAAAATAATCCTTGGTGTGTTCTTTAAAGCAGGTGCAGTGCCTCTCTACTGAAGGTAGTTTAATGGTCAACACAAGCTGACTCTGTTTCATGTGTAGGGTTTAATACAAACAAAAGTCTCTTCCCTTTTTTTTAGGAGGAGAAAAACAAGGTAGAAGCAAACTAAGCCCTGAACAGTCGAAAGGCACTGGAAGTCGGAGTCAACTGACATCTTCTAAGGGCATAGAAGAGACTGATACAAGACCGGCATCCCCTGGCAGGAAGCCAAAGAGGAAGAAGTGTGAGGAAGTACAGGGAGAGAAATGCCAGGTATTTCACTGGTTCAGTATATTTGTACATTCCTGCAAAAGAGCTATGTCTTTCAGTCATTCAGTATGTGTCTACATTCGTAGAAGAACTTTGATACAACCTTTGGAAATAATGAGAAAATATAGTAATCATCTAAAATGAAATTTACATTCACTCCAAATATCAATGAGGAGACTATTAAAATGAAAACTGGCCATAACCCCTATGTGTGCTAAATAAACTGTCACATTCTCCCATCCTTTTGCCCCTGTTATGTTCTGTGAAGTGCGAAAATAAAAACCCAAATTTACATTTTCTAAATTTGATTTATCAGGCTTAGTAAATTTATTCTTCAGCTTCAAAGGTGCATTTTGAATGTGTGAACTAGATATCTTCTCCTTTGAACAAAGTCATTAGCATTATGATTTGTATAATGAAGAGCCAGTCAAAAGCCAGAGTAATCTCTGATTTGCAGCTGTGACAAGTACAGACTGACAGACTTGGTTCCTTTGGGCGGTGGGTCCAGGTTCCACATGTTTTTGCTGTTTTGATTTTTACATAAAACCATCTGAGAAGTGAACACAATCCTGATGTTCAAACAATATTCTGCTTTAACACTGTCAAACCATCCTGTGGTTGACCCCAAAGGACAGGGTGGGTATTGTTTGATTATTATGGCACTTGTGGAGTAATATCAATAATGCCCTTTCTCTACCTGCTCTAATCCACGTTGTGTAAAGGGTTTATGGGTCAATAGAGACATAAATATAAGTGAGAATGTAAAGTGGTCCTATCTGTTGAATGGAATTTATCTTGTTAACAGTGAGATGCTTAAGCCTTGTACAATAGTAGTATTTTTAGTCTACTGTAGGTTAAAGGTTCAGACTTGGTTTCCATCCTACAATCATATTTAAGATAAACCACAGAACTATTTTTAATGACACAATACTCTTTTCTTCTTTATTTTCATTGTGTAAAATTAGAGAAAAAGAAAACAGCTGGACCAGGAAGCTGCAACTTAATTTATTTTTGTAGAGTGTAAAACTTATAAAAGATGATTCTGCAAGAATGACTGAAGTCAGTCCATGTAAGATTCTCTTAGCTATAGCTTTCAGTGTCAGTCAGATTAATTTGACAGCAGTGCCTGTAACCACAAAGGCCTGGTTTGTTGTACTGTAACTGGAGACATGATGCTTCATAGATCGTATTCTGTTGTAAATCACAAAACAACCTGCAGCTGCAGTGTCATTTAGAGCAAAACCATTTCATTGATATACCCAGAAATAGCCCTCAGCTCAATTGAGTGTTTTCATTCCAATAGTACAATTACAGTATATGATTGATTGTAAGCCTGTGGTTGTTTTTCTGTCCACCTTTAATTTTTCTGTGCTTACATTTGAAATGGTATTTTAAAACTAACAGGGTTCATCATCGTCTTTTGTGTTACCTGTCATGAAGCCCCCTAATTCAAACTGATAACTGCAGGGAAAGCGTTAGAAACCTATTAATGAGGCGTTTGAAGGCTATTACATTTCGAACAGCTGTCAAGATGCATTTATACGTCCAGTTCATAACGGGTGTCTACCCAGCTTCCAAACATCCAAAGTGGCTTTCTTTTATGGGTCGGGATTATATGTTAATTCATTTACATTTTTTTAAAAGTTAAATAATATATCAAGTATAACTTTCCAGCATTTGTGTCAACAAAGTTAATTTGTGTAGTGTGTGTACATTTTTTATTTTTTAATCATGTCAAATGTATTGATCCAAAAGACCTGTGTAATAACTCCTGCTGAATTGTTCTGCACGATGCATAATAATCCTGGTACCTTTATGAAGCTCATTTAACTCATTGCGTTACTTACATTATTAGAATGGCCGCTATGCTGATATCTGAGACAATCCATTACTCAGCTGTGACCACGCTCAATTCTTAACAAAACAAGAGCACACTGGCCCGAGCTTAATGCAATTGGTCAAGTACTAAAACAACAAACTAAAAAGATTAATGTTTTCTCATCCCCAAATTAGGCTGTTCTTTGCCTGCAGGAGTCTATGATTTGAAACAGACCATCTAAAAAGCAACAGTTCTGCATTCTGGTTAAAGTTATTTCCTTTTCATATGACTACAACCTTCAGAAACATTTAATCTTTTTTCCCCCCTGCAAAGGGGAAGGACTCCAGACTGCCTCTTTTGAAATTGAGGATAGATGAATAATATACTACTTCAAAAACTGAATCCATGCCCCATAATGACATTCAGTTTGATCTAAAAGTGATTTTTTGCTGTCTGTTATGTGTTTTTGTGCTTAATCTAGAAGAGCCCTGCTTCATTAGCAATTTCGGATTATACAATTTTCTTTTTACTTATTTGGTATCTGCAGATGCAAGTATGGCTATGTGCATTTGGCTTGAAAATCACTTTATCAATTTGCTGTGCTAAATGCATCTCCAGCAATATAAAGTTATTGTGTTATCTCCCTTTTATTAAAAAGCAAGCATATCATTAATGACTGTGCATTGTTATAAAAAGGTGTAGATAAGGCATATTGAGGACCTATGTCATAAAATTCTTAAACTGAAGATTAGATCTCTGTGTAGCTACACTGTCCATTTTGTAATATCTATCCAACAGCACCAGCCACAAAAAGAAATTCTGTAAGGTCATAAATATTTTTAGGCAGTCAGTTTTGTTTTCTCTCCAGATATCTCTGGAACACCTGGAGTTCTTGATGGAGGCATAATAGGCATACGTCCGAGACTTTAGCTTATTGCATTTATAATAGAGGTGCCCAGATATATAAACAGACCTATAGCTGAACAAGAAAAGGTCAGTCTCCCCACTGGAGTGAGAGTCATACTGTATATGAACTCGTATACTGCCTGACAGTGGTAATCCTAAAGGCTACCAATGCCATTTGCATTTGAGGCAGATCTGAGAGCTTCTTTCTTTAAGCCACTGAAAGAACAGTTTGTAATCAGAAGCACATTTGTATCCACAGGCTACCTCTTCTGCGGCGGATAACGGCAGAATCCGACGAGAGGATGAGCACATTGAAGAGTCGGACAAGGTCAGTGGGAGGCTCAGCGACGACGAGGAGCTGCGCCATGTGCCAGCTGGCAAGTCCGATCCTCATTCCAAGTCTAGAGAAGTGGACCTGAGTGACAGCGAAGAGAAGGAAGGCCCATCTCAGAGACCACTACAACGCAAAGGCCAGGGAACTCTTCCCAAAGCTACAGGCTCATCTGGGAGTGCAAGCCCTATGATGGCCGGGACCAGCAGAAAACAGCCTAGAAACCCCTGTATGTACGGAACAAATTGTTACAGGTAAATGGCAGCTTTCAAAAGCTGGAGACATTTGACGTTCCTTTTGTTTAATCACAGTTAAAACTCATTCAGTTTAACCCATCTGATACCCTGCATCAGAAAAATAAAAACAGTAAACAAATGAGTCAACACATTTTCTCATCAGTCCGGATACAGAATAAGATTTCAGCATGTGCTTCTCATTTGGACAGCTATGAAAAAGATATGCAAGACTCATTTCACAAAACACTTTCCTAAGTTTCCATGATCACAACCCAAGCTTGATAGCAGGCAGAGTGTTTGAGAGTTTAGTTTGAGTGAAAGTCTAAGTGCCCATGTATGTTTAAAAAACACTATATAAACTTACATTAAAGGCAGAGTCCTTCTGGTTGTGTCATACAGCCTGAAAATCATGTGCAGATGACAGCCTCCCTGTTGTTTAGCTTCACTGTCAGGATTTTTAAGAATATTATGTTACACTAACTGTAGAAAATGGAGAAAAGTTTCCATGCTTAAGAAAATCTATGACTACATTTAAAATCAAAGGCAAGGTTTGCTTTAAAATATTCTAAATACAGAACTCTTAAGAGCCCATAAATATTTTAAAATGGGATTTTGTTTCTATTTCTGAAGGCTGCTATGCTTATTTTAGTTATTGCTCTTCACACCAAATTGTACAATCCAGAGCACAGAATTTTATCAAATAACAACTTCATGTAACTGTTTCTTGCTTGTAGAAACAACTTTATTGTTAAATTTGTCACATACTATGAATGTAATTTATTATTATAGGAGAGAAAAGTACTTATTTATAGTTTGGTTTTATTTTTTAGTCTTGTAAGGAGATCAGCACACAAAGTATGAAATGGAAATGTAATTTTAATCTGTGGAACATCCTTTTAAATTAGCTTGAAAGTTTTCATTTCCAGTTTTCTCTGTATGATGTACATTTCTGTGGTTATTACAGAAAAATAACAGATGTGTTAAAAGGCATAGGCTGTTCAGCCTGTTCTGTTGAAATATTCGTCATATAAAATAGCTGCAGATGAATGAATAAAAAAAATACCAACATATTGTGGTAAAGCAATAGATAAATACCACAGCATACATAGAATTGTGGAATGAAATATCATAGGAAGCAATTCATGCACCATATCAATTTTTATTACATTTTATTAACATTACCTTAACCTTCATTAACATTGCTAACCCATTGTGGCTTTTACAAAGCTATGAATCTTATTGGAATTTTAAAAGAATATTGCTCCTTTTCTTTAAATGTTTTTGTAAAGATGTACTGAGGGAGAAATTTAAATATAATGTTATAATTTCTGCAGCGTTCAACAATTTTTACCCTAGCCAAAATTGTTACAGACATCTTTCATTCATGTTGGAAAAGAGGCATGAGTAAAGAAGACAATTCAAAAATTATAAAAATACATTTTGCACACAACACGGTGGGAGGTAAGGAATTAAATGATTAAATGCAACTTTGACATCAATAGCCATGGAAGCCTTTGTGTAGATATCAATACACAAAATTCACTATTTGGAATTATTTGTGTGCCATTAACACACAAATTAATAATATAAGATGTAGAGAAGAGCACTCATGCAAAAAGAGGAGGCTCAAAATGTGGAACTATCACCTATCTCATTATTGTATTATTCTGATTCTCTGGTTTAATTCTTATATTTGAAACCAGCCTCATTCAAAAAACGTGGAAGTCAATTTCCCAATACACAGACCATCTCATCTTCCAATTAAACTATAGGGGCAATAGACTGGACCACTGACAACACAAACAACAGCACGTTTTGTCTGAAGATTTCAGTTACTTCCCTCTTAAAAACTTGTGTTACTGGGGCACTAAGCAATACAGCAAACGCAGATTGTTCTACAATAATTAACAATGAACTGTTCAGACAGTGAGCCAGTTTGTCATGTAAGCATCACCAAACCAAACCGATTTCTTGCTGGAAAATTACATTTCCAGATCAGATTGAAGCCAGTCATGAGTCTTTTTATTTCCTCTTTTTAGGAAAAATCCAGTGCATTTTCAGGAATTCAGCCATCCGGGAGATAGCGATTATGAGGAAAAGTCGGCAGTGAGTGATGATGCGAGTGATTGCCGGCCAGAATGTCCATATGGAACAGATTGTTACAGGTGAGGAAAAGGTAATGCATTATTATGTGCTAGTGCATATTTTCAAAGCTTCAAAATTGGGATTGGAATTTATTGCACAGACCTATTGCATTCAGTTTCTTTATAAATACCATATAATAGTATTCAAAGTGTAGCCTAACCTGGCACAACAGTCAACACACCTATAAGTAATTCGGAATTAAGATCTGCAAGATTCTATGATGAGACCACAAACTGTCCCCATTCTATTGATACTGTATATTACTTATTACTTAAGTGAGTTTCATAGTTGTGATGTTAGATGTGATGTACAGTAGTGATGTGTAAATGCTGTGGCCTGTTCCCAATTAAACTGAAACGAGCTAACCTGACCTGAAGTTGTATTTAAGGCCTCATCCATTAAACAGAATTCTTTGAATTTTGAAAGCAGAAGAACTAGTGTACTTTAGTGTCAGCTTTGAAATGGGTAATACCCGACGGTGTGAGTGGAGGAATGATCAGGAGGAAAAGATGCCTCTCTCAATGAATTTTATATTTTTAAGGCAAAAGTAGGATCTCAGACCCTTAGAAGGTGGAGGTCAACAAGAGAATTGCTAATGATCTCAAGACCCTGCCCTCAATGTTGTTGTACCTTATTGTTTTATTTTTTGCTTTTGCTTCATTAGCTACGTTTCTAAACCTGCACCTAAGATGACATCTTAGGCTTTTTTGTGTTTTACATATTGTTTAGGAGATCACGAAGCTGCTCATTTTTCTGTCAGCAGGTCGCTTTTCAGATTTCCACTTCAGAAAGTTCAGGCACATATTAAGCATCTTTAAGTTCACACAGTGCTACTTTTGCATGCTTAATGCACAATTTTGTAAGGTCTGTGCACAAGTGAGCAAATGCAAAGGAAAGCTCACATTTGTGTTTGTTCATTTAAAAGAGTATGGACAGTGCAGATCAGAAAAGAGGATGTTCAGTGTTTGAAATCAGAAGGATATGAACTTGATAATATTTCTAACTTCTGGGGCATTTTCTTAATAACAGTCAACCATAGACCTTTGATCTGTCTTCTGAGAAGCATTATAGTATATATTTGCGTTATCTATGGACTTTCTAGCTGCACCATAGTGTAGCACGATTCCTTAATGAAACTTACACACCTACTAGAAAGAAAGTGAATTCAGAGGAGAATAAACAAAAGATGGCAATGCCATGTTAACTTTGAGCATTGTGTGTGCCTTGTAATACTACATGTGTTGAGGTTTAAAGGTAGTACCTAACACATTGTACCTCTTAATATGGAGTGCAACAGATCAGCAATTCATTTTTCAGTTTGCTAATTTCCAGAATTGTTCTTGCTTTGTTTATTACGCGATTGAGTAGAGATAGATAGTACAGATACCCTGTAACTGCTTTAAGCAGTAAGCATAAAGCATCTCAGATCTGTATGTGTACTGATAATAAGCTTTGTATGGAAATCCTTACATTTCATCTATGTTTACTTTGTACTTGGTTTGTGCAGTGGAAATGAGACAAACATTTTCTAATTTGTGTGTTACGCATAGAGACAAGATCAAATGTAAAGTTCTGAGAACATGATGGTACATTAAAGAGAGAGAAGGTGAAATTATGTATTGTAAAGGTGCTTTTGTGAACATTTGAAAGAGAAAATGTGTGCAACAGATCAAAGAATAGAATTTCCTATGTATGTTCTAAAATCTCCTGTGTATGTTTAAATTGCAAAAGTTCATTAAAAACACTTTACTAAATCTGTGCTACTTTTGGGGGAATTGTTACATGGTCCATTCTCTGCTGGGGACTGAATGTTCCTGAATTTGCAGAACTTTTTTTGTCTAAAGTGTTCACTGAAAAATAATAACAAAATCCTTTTTGTAACAGGTCTCAAATAACCTCTGAATCTCTCTAAAAAAATAAAAGCTCTTAGCTACTGACAGTAATTATATTTTTATTGTTAATTAATAGCTTTATGCAGTACTAGTTATTCCTTTACTTTTCAGTCGTAAAGTAAAGTGACCTGTTATTTTTTATGCCATTGTGTCATTTTTCTTGACCTTCCACTTTTCTGATGGTGTCTAATTTCTGCCGGCAAATTTCAAGATAATTGATTGAGAGAAGTGATTTTACCTCATTGTATTTGAAATCGTAAAAGGCTATTGTCAGTCAGCAGAAGTGCAAGAAAGATGATTTTGTCATTTTTAAAAAAGGTAAAATGCTTTCGAAGTCTTCCTCTAACTGCGGCCTCAATCGAGGTTTATTAAAAGTGCAGAAACTCAAGGCGATCAATAAATGACTGTTTACAGTGACAAGGGGTTACTGAAAAAAAAGTGTTCTCCTTCCTCCGTGACCTCGTGAGTCATCGTGCCCTTGCATTGTGTCATTGTTTATAGCTCTTTCTGCAGAGGTTCTGTCATAATTCTATAGCGAACCATCAGGGTTTAAAATGTAGAGAATGTCTTTACTGAAGACAGGCAGAAGCAGATTGCGGAGACAATGTAGATGAGAACTATGGTGTGTTCAGAAATATTGATAATAATTAATCTATCCACCCATCATCTAACCTCTTTATTCAATATAGGGTCACGGGGGAGCCAAAGCCTATCCAGTGCTCACATAGACCTGCACACATTCACACCAGGGCCAATCTTCCCAGTAGCCAGTTAACTTACCAGTATGTCTCCTATCTCGACCTGTGGGAGAAAACTAGAACACACAGCAAAAACCCAGGGCCCCAGCACTGTGAGGCGGCAATGCTAAACACTGTGTCACCGTGATGCCCATAATAATGTTCATGTGATTTAATTCTTGTAATCTGAGGCTAATCACAGAAATGTATGTTAAGAAAATATTATGGTTAAAAAATAATGCATCTGCAGTAATTAAACAGTTTCTTACAGAAAAAAAAACTATTAACACTTTTGCACATAGCTGGTTTCATGATTCATTTAAAATCCTTACATAAGTAACTTTACAGTTTTTATCTTTTATTTGGTTGAATTATTTGTCTTTAAATTGCTTAAAGGAAGTGATGGCTGGGTTTGTTTCTATTTTTAAAGATGTTTAAATTAAGGGATATGAAGCACTAGAGCAAGATCTCTGCACAATAATTTGTCATCATATCAGGACTAGTACCTTAATATTAAAAACCTCTTGCCTGGTGTATACTTAAAATTCACATCCAATTCTTAAAAGCCTATTTTTCCTTAATTAAATGTTCACAGGTTCCGTTCAGTTTTTCTTTCTGCACAAAAGGTCCGAGTCAAAGAAGGAAGTCATATTTTGCCAGTCCTGTTCCTCTGCTATTACCATGTGTATTAAAGTAAACTGTGCACCCCGGGGCTTTAATGCACCAGTGAATACACCTCTCTTTGTGATGAGCACAAATATTCCTTTATTTTAATATCGCACAGAGCCACCTGCTCGTTATCTCTTTAAGATGAGCATTCGTACTTTTTCATGAAGAGCTTTTCATACATTTCCTTGAAGAGCTCGAATGGACATGCTGGCCGTGATCCAGCTGCCACTGCCCTGTACCTCCTTGAATTTGTGCTTTGATCTCAGTGAGTGTTTTTTTTCTGTTTTGTGAAAGTCAGGTTTGTTAGGAGAAGCAAACATATTAGGTACGATCTAAAGTACAAGGGAATTGCTTTAAAGTTTTGGATTTTATAGGAAGTGAATTCTGCAAAAAAAATTACGGTCTATATATACGCCTTTTAATGCTTGTACCTTCTTTCCTTTGTGTGATAAAACATGCAATCTTAAGGAATTCTCTGATTGATGTCAGGTACCTTCTGAATGGACATTATAAAGCTGAGAGATTGCAGTGGGTACAAGCCGGTATCACAGCAGCACTGCTATCAGTATTTGATGTACAGTTTGTTCCTTACAGTTTATTTCTTATGTGGCCCCCAGAAGTACTTCACTGGAGTATAGAGGTACCAAGGGTCACTTGCTTAGTGGAATCACAATCAGCAGCAGCCATTTTTAGTATGGGTGTGAATGTTAAATTAAATAACTTTAAATAGTTCTCCTTTAAATCCTTTGCAGTGGAAATTCTGGAAGCAGTAATAGATGAACAGCGTGCAGTTCTTTGATATGCAAGTTAAACATTTAGGTAAATTAAACATATTGGGAAGCTGGCTTGTGTCAGCTTGATATATTCTCTTCACAACTGTCATCTGTGTGTGTCTGAGCATCAGGTGTGCAAATGCTACACAAAAGCACGGTGTTACCATGCATGCAGTGCTTTTTGCTAGGCTCTTCAAACCCCTTAGTTTAATTTGTATTCATGTCGTGGTAGTCATTTGAAATTGTTTGGATGCTGCCTGGTAGAATGAAGTTTTCAGTTGAAAAATAAATTCCAGTTAAAGGACATAAAAAAATCGTATTTCAATTAATCAGTAATGGCAAGCAAATAACTCAGTTTTAGTGCTTGAGTTTGGAAGCTTTGTGTGGCAGCATTGGTGAAGGCTGAATGCTGTCGAGGTGGATAGTACAAAAACTATTTGTCTGTGTTTTGTGCTGCACCTGTCATACAAACTGTTTTATGTGTCTGCCTTTTAAACTTCATTTGTAGTGTCCTGGAAGTATTTACAAACCCTCCAGGTTATATTCATGGGATTTGAAATTGCACTTATAATGAGATTGTTTTGGCAAACGGACAGCAAATAGAGTATAGGACAAACTAAAACACAAAAGAAACTAAAAGATGTTTAAAATGACAGCCTACAAAATAGAGGGGAGATGGCAACAATGACAAAAAGCTAAATTAAAAATAAGACTGGACATTTTAAATAATAAGAACGCAAATAATTGTGTCCACATCACAGGAGGCTGCCTTTAGATATGGCTTAAGTCTATCAGTGGTTTGAATTTAATTTTACTGAAAGACATGACTCATAGAATAACTTTTAAAATTTAATCTTTATAGTTCTGTTATTGACATTGCTGATTTTTAAGCATGCAGTTTACATTAGGTTTCAAATATTTTCAGGAAAAACCCACAACACAGGAAAGAATACAGACACACTAAGGCTTCAGGTAAGTACAAATAATTATTCATTTCAGCAGCAAATGAAAAGGTTGTGTCAAACGTATCAGGCATTCTAATGTCTAAGTAATCTATTTTCCATCATAGCCCCGTGTTCTCATTTGTATTTCATTTTGTATGAGAAACATTTTTATTATTTGCTTTCTGTTAATGTGCTACATTCCTAAATGAAAACATTAGAACTTAAGTAGGGAAGGACTGTTTGGTTTATAAATAGTAATGCTTCAATAAAAAGTGCCGTTTGGCTTTATTATTTACATCCATATTCATCATTTTTCTTCCTGTTAATAGAAACTGAAAACAGGAGACCAAAAAGGAAATGCATCCAAAAAGGTATGGCTTCATTTTTCTCTCAAAATCAGTTTTCTTCTCTCAAAAAACAATTGTTGAATTTAATTGCTAGATACAGCATACTGTATTCACTCTATTGTTTTATTTTTTATGTATATTTTCAGAAATACAGTGTATTGTCTGTACTAATTTAAAGTACATATGAATATGAATTTCTCATAGTACATATATTAGTGGTTTAGAGGCCACTGAATTATTTTCATTTCTGGACCACTAGGATTCAGACTGTGCAGTAAATCTAAAAATCTTCACTCTTATTGAAAATAACACACTAGTACATTTCACTTGTAATATTGTGAATTTTATATGTAACTTCCACCATAGGGATGTTTAGTCTTCTGTCACAGTATATTCACTTTTTACATCTTCATTGTTGGACCCAAAAGACAATGAGGCAGAATGACAGACAGCCTGGACAGAAGTGTGTGCACTCTGTGTGTGACAAGTGCAAATTATTTTAGATTATTTGATTTTCAACTATGCCATGTAAATTTGTGTAAAAATATCAAATTTTGAAGTTAGGATGAAAGGATGTCATTTTTATCATAACCTGGTTTTTGCAGTACATATTTTTTTCTTTTTCTAAAATATGAAATGAATCTGAAAGTGAAAGGCATGTTTTTATTTTTTCTAACAGTATCTATATACTGTATTCATATTTTTCTTTATAATGTCCATTATGGGCATTTAACAAACAGGTTTCAGTATAATTAAAAACTTGAGAGAAGGATTTCTGTATAGTGTATACATATCCACATTTCCTAACAGGAGTATATGAAAACATTTATTAAATGATTTATTAAACTTAGGAAAATCTACAAACTTCAGTATCACATCAGTATTTTGAGGTACATTTTTAAAGCAAATGTACAGTATAAGTAAAATTCAAAGGAAGCAATAAGTAACATATATTCATCCATCAGTAAACAGAGCTCCTAAAGAAGAATTTGTTTTTTCTTTTCTTAACATGGAAAACAACATTATTTTGTAATTCTTCAGAAATGGCTAAATGTTAGCTGTAGTTATAGATCTTCTGACTAATGAAAGATGAAAGAGCTTGGATTACAGTTTATTTCAGCTGTGCCTTATCACCCATATAGCTTCTGTAAGAACTTAGGATTCATCTTCAGTAAACAGAAGCATGAATCTTTTTCATTTTCCTGCATTTCACTATGTTTATCTGTAGGCTTCCACTGAAGATAAAAGACTTATCCCTTTCCACTTTGGAGGTGGTGTGTGAATTGGCAACAGAGATCTTTGATATGATATTGGGAAATACTGAAGACTGGAAGAAAACAATCATTGATAAAAGACCAGGCTTCTGCTATTAAGATAGTGAAATAAAATTATTCCTTTTTGAACACCAGTTAAAGTTCATTTACACGTGGACTGCAGTTGAATATGTAGATCTTTATATTTTTGTAGTAAACATGATGAAAACCTTATAGCTTTGTAGTGTGAGGGGGTCACAAAATCTTTTTTTATTTATAAATTAAAGGTCTTAATAAATTTAAAATTACCAAGCATCAAAGCATAACCTCGAAAGATTCACCTCAACCAGTGCAAAAGTATTTTAATTGCTACAAATTGTAAAATCAGCTAAATTTTCCTGAAGTGAATCCAATTCATTACAAGATATTCACAGATGAGGAAGTGTTCATTCTGCGCACACTCAAGTGGTGAAAGGTTAAAGACTCAATAAATCATCAGTTCCTGAGACAAAGCAGCATGTGAAACATGATGCAATTATTATTACCATCTTGACCAGCCGTCAGCATTTTGAATCATAAAAACCAATTCTCAGAGAGTGACCCTTTTCTAACAAAATCCAGCCTGGTTAATGAAACTTTATTAAAGATGCTCTATGACACAAAACCACTAACAAAAAAAAGTCTTTTGGTGATAATTGGATTATTATTCTGAGTTTTTCATTGTATTCCTTAGCGGTTAACAAAAATGATTACAAAGCTTTGCTTGTACTTCTCCATTTTTATATTACGAAATTATGCTTGAAACCAAGCCTGTTGTGTTTATTAATATAGAAATTAATAATGCACAATTCTTACATTTATTTGTTGCAAAATGGTGTTCCATGTGTTTTAGGTTACAAAAATTCATATGGCATCTTTTTAGGTAACAAAAGTTTTAAGAAATCATAGTATTAAAAAATATTCATACCAGACAACATCATTTTTATTCAACTCCATTACTGGAGTTTCATTAGTTACTCCATTATTATTTCCATGCATAATGTGTCAAATACTCCCTTTCCACTCATTAGTGCCATGTACTTAACACACTCTGTAAAATTCAGGAAATTGTTTCTGCCTGCAGAGCAAAGAGACTTTCACCGAGACAACGAGCACCATGTTTCCAGAATCTCATTAAAGAAACGCAGCCAACAGCTTAAATGTGTTTGTGTTTGTTCAAAAAATTATGTGGACGAATGAATAGAGGTTTACATGGATGAAAATGAACTTTAATTTAAAAATGCTAATTAAAACTGAATTGAACAAAAACCCTGCCAGAAATGAGGATTGTTGCATGCTGATGTTCATATGCCAATAGGTAATTTCTGACTCTTTACAATGGATAAGCATAATGAAAATGCATGATTACCTCTAAATTTATCTCATTAACATTATTAAAAGTGTAGGTAAAAACATTGGTTGGTGCTAACAATACAGTTTTTAGTGTAATCTATAGCATTAACTGAAGCCAAGCGAGCCAGGCATTTATGGATAGTATTGAAAGTCTATTGTTTACATACTGTATGTCGAGGTCTGTTCTTGTTCGATAAAACAAAACAGCTTACAGGATGAAGAATACATTCAGGGAAACAATACAGAGGCATCATGCATACAGTACACTCCTCTGTGACAAAGCAATTGCTGGTGCAGTATTGGAGTTCTCGGATCTCGGGGGAGCAGGGTTTAGAGTGATCCTAAATCTCTGCTAAGTTTCTGAGCTTGAGGCGTATTGCACGGGTGTGTGCTGTCTACTGTAAAGTGAGAAACATGTGATCCCCCCCCCCCTTTCTCCAAGAAAACAAAATTGAGCCTCCATACACACATTCAGTACACTGAAAGTGAAACTCACTGAGTTTTTCTTTCCCCTTGAAGAGGATGATGATTTTAAGTGCAGTAGCATAGGAAATTTAATTTTGTGCACTTAGGCCACTTCATATGTCCTATACATTTGGGATAGGCTCTTGTGTAACAAGACCCTTATGAGGAATAAGTAGACTTCTCATATTAAAGGATGGAGCCCACTTCAGGGAATCCAGGGAGACAAGAAAAAAGATCTGCTGATAGCTATGTTGCCTCTTCTCTGCAGAATACAGAGTGATTGATATAAAACCATTTTAAACATGACTCTGACAGTGTGAAATAAGATGAAAATGTTTAAATACAGCATTTCAGCAGCTTTTAGCGTCTTACCTGCATAGCATGCATGTGTATATATTAGCTTTGACAGGAGTCTTAAATCAATGGAAAAACGTATTTTCACCTTTTCCAACAGCCTAATGAAAAGTACTTACTGTGGCAAATTCTAGTGCTTAGGCTCTCACACAGGGGATGAATGACATAAATACTTATTTTTTTAAGTTGTTAAGTTGAACAAAATTCCACTATATAATTTTAGCATTTTGTTAGTGACAATTTGGTTTACCCTTTGTTTGCTACAGATGTACAATAACAGCCCATAGTTTAAGCACTTTTGCTTTTTCAATAGTAGCACTGACCGGTGTGACAAAGCCCACATTTTCAACTGCTGGTCCACAGACCTGCACTGGTCCATGGAGCAGTTCTGACTGGTCCCTGCTGTAATGAAAGTATACAAGTTCATTGTAGAAGTGACAATACAGTATAATTGTATTCTTGCTGTGGACCACTTTTCAGCAGTGAAGGACTTTAAGGAGATGATACCTGGTACAAAAAAAGGTTGAGAAACACTGAAATACAGTGTGATACTTTTTAGGTGTTTAGTGGTTGGCTGCTCTCTCACACCACCAAGGTCCAGCGTTTGATTACAGCTTGGGCATGGTACTGTGTGGAGTTTGCATGTTCTCCCGTCAGAAAACGTCCAAATACAAGTAGTTTGTTTTACGGATTATAAATAGGTGGACTATTAAGGTAGGTCTTGTTGGTTAGGAGGAGCGTTCTGTGGGATTATCATGGTGGAAGCCTTAAAAAGACATAAGTGAGTGATATAAGCAATTACTAAAGGTATTGATTTTAAGGTGTGGGGAAACTTGTCTTTTCCAGCAGGTAAGAAGAGTGCTTTGGCAGGAGATGATGATGATGGGGAGCCCAATGACTATGACCTGAATGACAGCTTCATCGACGATGAGGAGCTGGAGGACTCTGACCACAGTGATGAGGATTCTGACTATGTACCAGACTCTGATGACAGTGTTGCAGAGGATCTAAACACTTTAAGCAAAGAAGCTAAGGAGTTTATGGGGAGAAAAAAATGAATCTGAAAAACTACTGCTTTTTATGTTTTTGTATGTTTAACTTTAAAAACCACTGGACAAAATATGAATTGATATATCTGTATATATCTTTTGTAATAATATGTTTTGTGGATCTTATAATACTGCTCTACCTTTTTACAATTTCATGTACCAGAAAGCAGTTCTTTAAACTGTGCAGTTATTAGCAGAAGGGCAGCTGTATGCTTTGTTTTCTAATCTAGTCAATCATATACAAATTTACAATCTGGCTTAAAGTAAAATGGTGACTTGTGGGTCCTTAAACCTGTTTTGTACATAATTAGGATGTGATAATAGGGCAAAATATTTGTAGATGGAAATGGTAAAGATTCATTTTGCTCAATTTTTTTTAAATTTAAAAATAATTTTAAAGATTGTTTTTACATGAGAGTCAGCTGAAGATATTAATATTGCAAAACAAAAACATCACCAGAACAGGATTGACATTTGTTAAAAACAGATTCACCAATTATTTTTTTGCTATGCGCCCACCCCTTTTGGAACCTCAGATGGTTTCTTTACATCTCCACACACAGCGACCACTCACTGCAGACCCATCACCTCATTGATCTGTTGACACGCTACAGTAGTATGTAGTGCTGAGTGCTGATTGGAGGAGAGGTGCATCCCTCACTGACATCACTGCAAGCCTGCAGGTGCCTGGGGGGCTGTAGACGTCCCTTTTCTTTAAAAGCAGAGAGAGCCCAGCCTGCACATACTATCATCTTTACTCACTGTTAAGGAGAACTGACAAAAGAAAAACAAAATAGTTTTCTATGCCATTCTTAATGTGTCATCCCTCCCTCACCCTTTCCCTCCTAAAGTAGATAAGTGTGCTAATTAATTAATTTAGGAATGTATATAAGAATTCAATGCCTGCAGGTAAAATGGAATATATTCATTCTTATTAAAAAAGGTGTTTGTCTGCTCTTAGCTCTACATTCTATTAACTGACTAGACGTAGTACTGATACAGTCGATGGTTTTTCAAAATAGAGTGGGATTAAACAAATATTGTCTGACTGAATTGAGTTTATGCCCTATGCCTGCTATAAATATGTCTTCAGGCTTAGAAATGTTACATTGAGAACAAGTAGCCTATTGTAGAGCTGCATTTAAAAACTGCCATCAATATGTTTTGTCAGACTACTTCTTAATCTGCACTTATTACTTTATTTTCCTTTGTAAATTGAAGGTTTTTTTTCAGTGTATTTTATATTGTTGTAAAATAAATTTCAAAGTTTCCATTTGTGCGCATCTCCACACTGGTGATCAGAATAAAAAGGTGAAATGAGGGGGAAAAAATGACCTCATGATGTTTTTATAGGCCTCCTGTTACAATTAAAGCACCGATGTACTGTTAAAGGACAATAACGGCTAATAAATTTCAAAACAATGGAAACAGATGTCTACAAATCCTAGAACAGTCTAAAAAGTTTTTTAAAGAAACGGCAGCAGCATCAATCAAAAAGGAGGTAGACCGTGCAAGCAGGCCATGTCTAATTACAGGAGCTAACGCATTCTGTAGATATTGCACCTCTCAAGAGTCAGGTCTATATTCATCATGGGTATGTACTTCTTCAGTGGAATAAGTAAAGATTAATTTAAAGCTGAATAGAAAGATAAATCTGCACAACATTTCAGCCATAGAGCTTTAATCCACAAACCTTTCTTCATTTTCTCTCTTCTGTATAGAATTAACCACTATTCTCTTTACAGCTCGCATGCTTACTCTATTACTTTTAATGTCGTAAACTAAAGAATTCAGTGTTGTGCAACTCACTCCGGGCTGTGTATGGACCAAATCGCATGTTTTAAGCATTTTATTGTAGTGCGTTTGATAACGACAGAAAAAAAGGTTTTCAGTTGCCGTTAGTGCATAATTAAAAGGTTTAATGAAAGAAACATGGCAGCACAATGGTATGGTGGTTAGCTCTGCATCTCAACAACTCCTGCGTTGAACAGTAGACTGGGACACTATATAGTTCTCCTCATGTTCACATGGGTTTCCTCTCTCACCTTCCACAGACATGCTGGCTAGCTTAATGAGCGCCTCTAAATGATCCTCCAGACTTCGTGTGTTGCCTCGTGCAAGGGCCTGCCATCCTGTCCAGGCTGTGTTCCTGTTTTGTGCAATCTGCTTCCAGATTAGGTTCCACGCCGTCATGATCCAGATGATGAATGGGTAGATAATGAAAAAAAGCACGGCCTCACTTCATAGTTAACCAGATTTCACATTCTTAGCATCTATCTCCATAGAAATAATTACACAAATTGCTTTCTTGCAAAGCAAGCCAGTGTCCCCTGAGGTGTGTAATTACACAGAACACCTACTTTATTTTTTCTCATTTCAGATTTTGTTTAGAAAAGCTTGCTTTTTATAGTGACTAAGCACACCAGAATATTTTTATACTTTTAAACGTATATTAGGTGTAGAATAATGAAGTATTTTATTGGCTACATCTGCAAGGTTCCTTCATTTTTGTGACCTTTATTCTACATGCAGTACCCAAGACCTGGGGAGGAAAACTGATACTAAAAAATGTAAACGTTTTTAACCGTCGTATTTAGCTTTCTCTTTGTAGTCCTAATGCGGGTTTGCAGGAGAGAGAAAATGCCCCAATAAGATTAATATGGGTTCAAAAGTTAATATTTTCTTAAATTTAAAATCAAGCCGTGATGGCACAAGTGATCTTATATATACAACGTATGATTCACAGCATAAGTTCTATTATAAAAAATACGATCGGACATTCAAACATTTTAAAAGCGCAGACCCCCAGCAGCAGTGATGGGAACAGGAGGTAGAAAAAGATGACACTTAAAAAACTAAAACTAGGTCTTTGTTTTAGTAAAGCTTTTTGCTCTCTGCAGCAGCCACCACAAAATGTGATAGAAAGCTGCATGAGAATGCAAGTCTCTGTTCCAGATGATTCTTAATTATACTGGATCTTCAGCACCTGTGTCCATTTAGCAGTTAAAGATTAGGAATTAGTTTATTGGAAGGACTAAAGGTATTTATTGTACGTTTTTCAAAATGAAGAAACAAAAATAGATGCAGTGGTTGTGACACAAATTTGTGTGTTGTTATTGCCAGTTGTTTGAACAAGGAGCACAGTTAAAGAACAGCTAACAACCGCAGTGAGTGCAGTCTTTGTCTGTTACAGTTCTCATGATAATATTAGTGTGTAACAATCCTCATTAATCACTCTTTTTGGACACTTTCACCTGCACTGGAATGTTCACACTTTAGCTGCTGACACAGGTATTATTTATCCTTTAAGATTAAACAAAAAATTCAATTTTAATTCAAGCTTTGTGCTAATAAGATAATGGGAGAAGGAGAATTCCAATTCAATTACAATGTGCTTTTAACATGTGTGTTGCTGTCTGTAGTCACGTTCCTTTGGGGTTACTAATATAATTTCATTATATCCACTTACTTAAAAAAGCAAAGAACTAAGAAATCAGTAATCAACTTTACTAAACATTCTACTAGAGTTACAAATTGCGTGGTCCAATTTATGTCTCAAAGAATATGCATTTGTGGTGGGTTTAAGAAAAAAAGACATTCATTCTTGAGCATATTACATATGAGACCAATTAAATTAGTGTGTCATTGAGCTACACTTTAGTGAGTAAGTCAATGTTACAAAATTACCCTTTTACGCTGCTTGAGTTATAGCTTCTGTTGAGTCACCGGTCATCAGTTCTGACCGGGCGAGCTCCCAGACTATTTTATTATGTCTTTGTACGTATGTTTGACTGCATGTTTAATATCCATTTTTAATCGAGCGCTTGATCATATCATTCTTTGTTACTGTGATATCTCCAGGGTCTCCTACGAAGTGTGATTATTGAATACCGTTGTGAATATTGACTCAATTTATATTGCTCTAAAATATTTTTAAAAATATTATTGGATTACTTTTTTCAAGGACCTTGTGTTTTCTAGAGATAGGAGGATTAAAAGAAAGTGTCCTTTCATTACTAGGTATTATCTAGGCAAATTAGAAGTGAACTGAAATGAACTATGTGAGGCTTATGCATGTTTGACCTCTTTAACTCACTTGTGATTTCTATCTCAGTGCAGACCAGAAATGTGAGAATGATGGGACAAATCCAGGCTTTAGAAAGGAACCTGACTTTCCAAATTGGATTTCTAAATTAGAATTTACAGTGAATAATGAGGCTGTTCTGAATCATAGTGCCTTGTTCTTTGTTTCTTTAGTCCACTGTTGCACTGCTAATGTCCAGCTGTGTTTTTTTGACACACACATGTGCATTTGCTGAATATTAAATGGATGATTCTGTACAATTACAGGAGCTGAATGAACATCCATCTAGGTTGTGTGCTTTAGAGCATGGTGGTGGTCCTCTTTGCCTATTGTGTATAAAACACTAGAGTAGAAGGCAGTTAATTAGTAGTGTGCCATATGTTCCTAAGGTCTTGTCAGTAAAGGTTAAAAAAAATAATGGGAGACATTAGATGGAAACAGATGTATGAAAAGAAAGTTATCTTCATAGACGTGGAGTGAAATGGCAATGCAATTAAGGATGTGTATGATGTCTGATGTGGACAGTAATAACAGTCTTGGTGGAAGAAAAGAAATCTGAATTAAGCCAATAGCAACATCCGGTTGACACCACGACAAAGAGGGCTCCCAGCTCAGAACTCAGAGTTCCAGGCAGAATTTCAGAAAGAAAAGATTCGGACAGTATACAACCCAACAGTGAAGGGAGTCCAGATGAGGGTTTCCTTAAAACAACTGAGGGGGAACTCCTCGGGGTCAGGAAATTGCTATTGCTAATTGCTAGCTCAGTTCCAGCTTGGATGAAAGGCTGATCCAGTGCCATAAGAATGGGCCAATGTTTTGAAAGAAAAGTGGTAACGAAGAAGGAGTGTTTAAGAAATTCAGATTTCTAAGGAGACAAACAGAAATTTTGTAATTCTGTGTTAAGTTTTATTGGTCCGCAATTTGTTCAGATTTTGTACTAATGTCTGAAATAAAATGTTTAGTTGCTGAAAATGTAATTGATAAAACTTTATGTGATTGTTTGAGAGTATCAAAGATTGATTGGAACTGAAATGAATGCCCTACACTGACTGGCAAACAATAATATGCCTACAGGCAGCCATTTGGATCATATGTGAACATCAGCTTTCTAAGCATGATGCTTAATTACTGTATGTCTACATAAGAAACATGAATGTGGAGAGTACGATATCTTTCTAGTGTCTATATTTCACAGCAGTCTTAGTCTGCAGTTTGCACAGTGGACCTATATTGTCTAGAAGCTGACAGGCACTTGTTAGTTTACCCTGGAGCCTGGCCTGTTTAAATTAAATAAAATCATTTCTGTTGTTAGACAACAAAGAAAAGCATTAGGTGACAATGCTGCACAAACAACGAAAACCTGGCTAATTAGCACAGCTTGAAAAAAGTTGACTATTATTCTACGTGATAATACCTAATACAAGATGTGGGCATTTTTGATAGAATACTATCTTACATTAATGAAATATCATTGGTTAGCATGAAAAGGATGCATTACTGAGTTTGGACCCTGATATTCTTTTTCAAATTAACTTTTTAAGCATGACAACGATTGTTTTGTTATAA